AGGAAGGTGCAGGAGGTGCAGGACCAAGGGGATCAGAGGAGGCTCGGAGAGCAGAGCGAGAGAAGAAGGGGGGTAGAGAGGGCGCGAGCCTTGGTCCTGCTGTGTTCTGCTTACTGTGGGGTCTTCTTTCCTCCCGCTTGCCGCTCCTGTACCTTACTGACGGGGCCGGTCCAGGTGCTTCAGGGGATACACAGGACCCAACTGCTCGGACATCATAGCCAACAGTACGGCAGATCACAACGGAACATGTCGGTCCGACATGGACTGCCTGGGAGACGGGAGGCGATGCGTGCAAGGTCGGTGCGAGTGCTACGGAGGATACTCGGGCATGATGTGCGAGGCTTGCACAAGAAACCGATACGGCGGCGAGTGTGAAGGAAGGTGCATAGCCAAAGTTAACTGCAGCGGACACGGACGGTGTCGCGGGAAGGACAGCTCATGCAGGTCAGTAGGCCGAAGGAAAGCGGAGGTGCAGGAGGGCGCAGGAGGTGCAGGAAGGTGCAGGAGGTGCAGGACCAAGGGGATCAGAGGAGGCCAGGAGAGCAGAGCGAGAGAAGAAGGGGGGTAGAGAGGGCGCGAGCCTTGGTCCTGCTGTGTTCTGCTTACTGTGGGGTCTTCTTTCCTCCCGCTTGCCGCTCCTGTACCTTACTGACGGGGCCGGTCCAGGTGCTTCAGGGGATACACAGGACCCAACTGCTCGGACATCATAGCCAACAGTACGGCAGATCACAACGGAACATGTCGGTCCGACATGGACTGCCTGGGAGACGGGAGGCGATGCGTGCAAGGTCGGTGCGAGTGCTACGGAGGATACTCGGGCATGATGTGCGAGGCTTGCACAAGAAACCGATACGGCGGCGAGTGTGAAGGAAGGTGCATAGCCAAAGTTAACTGCAGCGGACACGGACGGTGTCGCGGGAAGGACAGCTCATGCAGGTCAGTAGGCCGAAGGAAAGCGGAGGTGCAGGAGGGCGCAGGAGGTGCAGGAAGGTGCAGGAGGTGCAGGAGGTGCAGGAAGGTGCAGGAAGGTGCAGGAGGTGCAGGACCAAGGGGATCAGAGGAGGCTCGGAGAGCAGAGCGAGAGAAGAAGGGGGGTAGAGAGGGCGCGAGCCTTGGTCCTGCTGTGTTCTGCTTACTGTGGGGTCTTCTTTCCTCCCGCTTGCCGCTCCTGTACCTTACTGACGGGGTCGGTCCAGGTGCTTCAGGGGATACACAGGACCCAACTGCTCGGACATCATAGCCAACAGTACGGCAGATCACAACGGAACATGTCGGTCCGACATGGACTGCCTGGGAGACGGGAGGCGATGCGTGCAAGGTCGGTGCGAGTGCTACGGAGGATACTCGGGCATGATGTGCGAGGCTTGCACAAGAAACCGATACGGCGGCGAGTGTGAAGGAAGGTGCATAGCCAAAGTTAACTGCAGCGGACACGGACGGTGTCGCGGGAAGGACAGCTCATGCAGGTCAGTAGGCCGAAGGAAAGCGGAGGTGCAGGAGGGCGCAGGAGGTGCAGGAAGGTGCAGGAGGTGCAGGAGGTGCAGGAGGTGCAGGAAGGTGCAGGAGGTGCAGGACCAAGGGGATCAGAGGAGGCCAGGAGAGCAGAGCGAGAGAAGAAGGGGGGTAGAGAGGGCGCGAGCCTTGGTCCTGCTGTGTTCTGCTTACTGTGGGGCTTCTTTCCTCCCGCTTGCCGCTCCTGTACCTTACTGACGGGGCCGGTCCAGGTGCTTCAGGGGATACACAGGACCCAACTGCTCGGACATCATAGCCAACAGTACGGCAGATCACAACGGAACATGTCGGTCCGACATGGACTGCCTGGGAGACGGGAGGCGATGCGTGCAAGGTCGGTGCGAGTGCTACGGAGGATACTCGGGCATGATGTGCGAGGCTTGCACAAGAAACCGATACGGCGGCGAGTGTGAAGGAAGGTGCATAGCCAAAGTTAACTGCAGCGGACACGGACGGTGTCGCGGGAAGGACAGCTCATGCAGGTCAGTAGGCCGAAGGAGAGCGAAGGTGCAGGAGGTGCAGGAAGGTGCAGGAGATGCAGGAGGTGCAGGAAGGTGCAGGAAGTGCAGGAAGGTGCAGGAAGGTGCAGGAAGGTGCAGGACCAAGGGGATCAGAGGAGGCCAGGAGAGCAGAGCGAGAGAAGAAGGGGGGTAGAGAGGGCGCGAGCCTTGGTCCTGCTGTGTTCTGCTTACTGTGGGGTCTTCTTTCCTCCCGCTTGCCGCTCCTGTACCTTACTGACGGGGTCGGTCCAGGTGCTTCAGGGGATACACAGGACCCAACTGCTCGGACATCATAGCCAACAGTACGGCAGATCACAACGGAACATGTCGGTCCGACATGGACTGCCTGGGAGACGGGAGGCGATGCGTGCAAGGTCGGTGCGAGTGCTACGGAGGATACTCGGGCATGATGTGCGAGGCTTGCACAAGAAACCGATACGGCGGCGAGTGTGAAGGAAGGTGCATAGCCAAAGTTAACTGCAGCGGACACGGACGGTGTCGCGTTAACTGCAGCGGACACGGACGGTGTCGCGGGAAGGACAGCTCATGCAGGTCAGTAGGCCGAAGGAGCAGGAAGGTGCAGGAGGTGCAGGAGGTGCAGGAAGGTGCAGGACCAAGGGGATCAGAGGAGGCTCGGAGAGCAGAGCGAGAGAAGAAGGGGGGTAGAGAGGGCGCGAGCCTTGGTCCTGCTGTGTTCTGCTTACTGTGGGGTCTTCTTTCCTCCCGCTTGCCGCTCCTGTACCTTACTGACGGGGTCGGTCCAGGTGCTTCAGGGGATACACAGGACCCAACTGCTCGGACATCATAGCCAACAGTACGGCAGATCACAACGGAACATGTCGGTCCGACATGGACTGCCTGGGAGACGGGAGGCGATGCGTGCAAGGTCGGTGCGAGTGCTACGGAGGATACTCGGGCATGATGTGCGAGGCTTGCACAAGAAACCGATACGGCGGCGAGTGTGAAGGAAGGTGCATAGCCAAAGTTAACTGCAGCGGACACGGACGGTGTCGCGGGAAGGACAGCTCATGCAGGTCAGTAGGCCGAAGGAAAGCGGAGGTGCAGGAAGGTGCAGGAGGTGCAGGAGGTGCAGGAGGTGCAGGAGGTGCAGAGGTGCAGGATGGTGCAGGACGTGCAAGACCAAGGGGATCAGAGGAGGCTCGGAGAGCAGAGCGAGAGAAGAAAGGGGGTAGAGAGGGCGCGAGCCTTGGTCCTGCTGTGTTCTGCTTACTGTGGGGTCTTCTTTCCTCCCGCTTGCCGCTCCTGTACCTTACTGACGGGGTCGGTCCAGGTGCTTCAGGGGATACACAGGACCCAACTGCTCGGACATCATAGCCAACAGTACGGCAGATCACAACGGAACATGTCGGTCCGACATGGACTGCCTGGGAGACGGGAGGCGATGCGTGCAAGGTCGGTGCGAGTGCTACGGAGGATACTCGGGCATGATGTGCGAGGCTTGCACAAGAAACCGATACGGCGGCGAGTGTGAAGGAAGGTGCATAGCCAAAGTTAACTGCAGCGGACACGGACGGTGTCGCGGGAAGGACAGCTCATGCAGGTCAGTAGGCCGAAGGAAAGCGGAGGTGCAGGAGGGCGCAGGAGGTGCAGGAAGGTGCAGGAGGTGCAGGACCAAGGGGATCAGAGGAGGCCAGGAGAGCAGAGCGAGAGAAGAAGGGGGGTAGAGAGGGCGCGAGCCTTGGTCCTGCTGTGTTCTGCTTACTGTGGGGTCTTCTTTCCTCCCGCTTGCCGCTCCTGTACCTTACTGACGGGGTCGGTCCAGGTGCTTCAGGGGATACACAGGACCCAACTGCTCGGACATCATAGCCAACAGTACGGCAGATCACAACGGAACATGTCGGTCCGACATGGACTGCCTGGGAGACGGGAGGCGATGCGTGCAAAGTCGGTTGCGATTGCTAGGGAGGATACTCGGGCATGATGTGCGAGGCTTGCACAAGAAACCGATACGGCGGCGAGTGTGAAGGAAGGTGCATAGCCAAAGTTAACTGCAGCGGACACGGACGGTGTCGCGGGAAGGACAGCTCATGCAGGTCAGTAGGCCGAAGGAGAGCGGAGGTGCAGGAAGGTGCAGGAGGTGCAGGAAGGTGCAGGAGGTGCAGGAAGGTGCAGGAGGTGCAGGACCAAGGGGATCAGAGGAGGCTAGAGAGGGCGCGAGCCTTGGTCCTGCTGTGTTCTGCTTACTGTGGGGTCTTCTTTCCTCCCGCTTGCCGCTCCTGTACCTTACTGACGGGGTCGGTCCAGGTGCTTCAGGGGATACACAGGACCCAACTGCTCGGACATCATAGCCAACAGTACGGCAGATCACAACGGAACATGTCGGTCCGACATGGACTGCCTGGGAGACGGGAGGCGATGCGTGCAAGGTCGGTGCGAGTGCTACGGAGGATACTCGGGCATGATGTGCGAGGCTTGCACAAGAAACCGATACGGCGGCGAGTGTGAAGGAAGGTGCATAGCCAAAGTTAACTGCAGCGGACACGGACGGTGTCGCGGGAAGGACAGCTCATGCAGGTCAGTAGGCCGAAGGAAAGCGGAGGTGCAGGAAGAGCAGGAGGTGCAGGAAGGTGCAGGAGGTGCAGGAGGTGCAGGAGGTGCAGGACCAAGGGGATCAGAGGAGGCGTGGAGAGAAGAGGGTCTGTGCGACTTGGGCTTCTTCAGCAGTCCGAATGGCTCCACTGCCTGCAGCTCATGTCCAGCAGGTCTGGGGAACCAATTGTCAGGAACGTTCAACAGGATGGATTCCAGTGTGTGTCTTTCCATTAACAGCACAAAATCAAACTTCTGGCTGTGAGTGCTTGCCGGGCTTCAGCCCTGGCTGGCTTGCCAACGTCTCCGCAGGCGGGCAGCAGCCCCTCGATCGCTTCGGCTGCGATCCGTGCCAGCCAGGAACTTACAAGCCGGGGCCCGGCAACGGGACATGTACGAACTGTCCGGCGGGGTCATACGCGTCCGAGGGCGGAGCGACGAGCTGCACGGCCTGTCCCCCGCATTCCTCGTCTGCGGCGGGCAGCGTGTCACAAGCCGACTGCGGATGCGAGGCAGGCTACATGCTGGTGCCGGGCAACGGAAGCCTCGTGCCTGGGCCCAACCTGAGCTTGCAGGTCGTCCCTTCCGGCCCAACGTCAAACACCACGCCCGGGTACGCAGCCTGCAGGATGTGTCCGCCGGGGTACTACAAGCCTGAGAAAGGCCTCAAGAGCTGCTCAGCATGCCCGCCCGGCACGTACAGCAACGGGTCACGCGCCGCCTCCTGCTCCGGTAACTGCAGCTCGTCTGCTGCTCTCGAGGCCTGGGGTGCGACGGGATGCACGGGCTGTCCTACCCACTCGACCTCCCTCCGGGGCAGCTCGTCGCAGGCAGACTGCATCTGCGAGGGAGGCTTCTACGACGCTGGGGCGGGGTCGATGACTAGGCAGGGGGTCAACGCTGCTGCGAACGCTTCCCGCGCGGGCGGGCCAGATTGCCGGCCATGCGCTGAGGGAAGCTACAGCAACGGCACGGGCTCCTCCGTCTGTGCGCAGTGCCCTGCCAATGCGGTCTCGGCGGCAGGCAGCTCGTTTGTATGGGAGTGCAAGTGTCATGCCGGCTTCTACGACGCCAGCCCGCTGGCCAACCTGTCGGGCGCAAGGCGATGGGGCCCAGCTTGCAGCCCGTGCGCTGCTGGGTCCTACAGCGACCTCCAGGGATCGACCGCCTGCACAGCCTGCCCCGCAGGTATGACGTCCAGGCTTACGGGCAGCACCAGCATCCTCGATTGTCAATGCATGAGCGGCATGTACATGGACCCCAAGAGTGGTGACTGCGTCACATGTCTGCCAGGAACGTACAACAACGAGAGCCGACTTACTTTCTGTCAACACTGCCCGTCGCACACGCAATCGCAAGCCGGATCCTCCAGCATACACGACTGTCTGTGCGACTTGGGCTTCTTCAGCAGTCCGAATGGCTCCACTGCCTGCAGCTCATGTCCAGCAGGACACTACAACGACGAGCTTGGAGCGACGTACTGTAAGAGATGCGGTAGCCATCAAACCTCTCCCGCACAGAGCACATCCATCAGCGACTGTGAGTGCTTGCCGGGCTTCAGCCCTGGCTGGCTTGCCAACGTCTCCGCAGGCGGGCAGCAGCCCCTCGATCGCTTCGGCTGCGATCCGTGCCAGCCAGGAACTTACAAGCCGGGGCCCGGCAACGGGACATGTACGAACTGTCCGGCGGGGTCATACGCGTCCGAGGGCGGAGCGACGAGCTGCACGGCCTGTCCCCCGCATTCCTCGTCTGCGGCGGGCAGCGTGTCACAAGCCGACTGCGGATGCGAGGCAGGCTACATGCTGGTGCCGGGCAACGGAAGCCTCGTGCCTGGGCCCAACCTGAGCTTGCAGGTCGTCCCTTCCGGCCCAACGTCAAACACCACGCCCGGGTACGCAGCCTGCAGGATGTGTCCGCCGGGGTACTACAAGCCTGAGAAAGGCCTCAAGAGCTGCTCAGCATGCCCGCCCGGCACGTACAGCAACGGGTCACGCGCCGCCTCCTGCTCCGGTAACTGCAGCTCGTCTGCTGCTCTCGAGGCCTGGGGTGCGACGGGATGCACGGGCTGTCCTACCCACTCGACCTCCCTCCGGGGCAGCTCGTCGCAGGCAGACTGCATCTGCGAGGGAGGCTTCTACGACGCTGGGGCGGGGTCGATGACTAGGCAGGGGGTCAACGCTGCTGCGAACGCTTCCCGCGCGGGCGGGCCAGATTGCCGGCCATGCGCTGAGGGAAGCTACAGCAACGGCACGGGCTCCTCCGTCTGTGCGCAGTGCCCTGCCAATGCGGTCTCGGCGGCAGGCAGCTCGTTTGTATGGGAGTGCAAGTGTCATGCCGGCTTCTACGACGCCAGCCCGCTGGCCAACCTGTCGGGCGCAAGGCGATGGGGCCCAGCTTGCAGCCCGTGCGCTGCTGGGTCCTACAGCGACCTCCAGGGATCGACCGCCTGGATTGTCAATGCATGAGCGGCATGTACATGGACCCCAAGAGTGGTGACTGCGTCACATGTCTGCCAGGAACGTACAACAACGAGAGCCGACTTACTTTCTGTCAACACTGCCCGTCGCACACGCAATCGCAAGCCGGATCCTCCAGCATACACGACTGTCTGTGCGACTTGGGCTTCTTCAGCAGTCCGAATGGCTCCACTGCCTGCAGCTCATGTCCAGCAGGACACTACAACGACGAGCTTGGAGCGACGTACTGTAAGAGATGCGGTAGCCATCAAACCTCTCCCGCACAGAGCACATCCATCAGCGACTGTGAGTGCTTGCCGGGCTTCAGCCCTGGCTGGCTTGCCAACGTCTCCGCAGGCGGGCAGCAGCCCCTCGATCGCTTCGGCTGCGATCCGTGCCAGCCAGGAACTTACAAGCCGGGGCCCGGCAACGGGACATGTACGAACTGTCCGGCGGGGTCATACGCGTCCGAGGGCGGAGCGACGAGCTGCACGGCCTGTCCCCCGCATTCCTCGTCTGCGGCGGGCAGCGTGTCACAAGCCGACTGCGGATGCGAGGCAGGCTACATGCTGGTGCCGGGCAACGGAAGCCTCGTGCCTGGGCCCAACCTGAGCTTGCAGGTCGTCCCTTCCGGCCCAACGTCAAACACCACGCCCGGGTACGCAGCCTGCAGGATGTGTCCGCCGGGGTACTACAAGCCTGAGAAAGGCCTCAAGAGCTGCTCAGCATGCCCGCCCGGCACGTACAGCAGTCGTGTTGCTTCAAGTAGTTGTGTGAGTTGTGGATCATATATGGTTTCAGCTGAGGGGAGCTCGTTACCGTCCGACTGCGTTTGCTCTCCTGGCTCAGTTCCTTCTTTAGACAAGGCGGGAGGTTGTCGACCCTGTGGTGCAGGAACGTACTTGTCGGCAAGTGGGCTTGAGTGTATAATGTGTCCGCCAGGCACGTACAATGGAATTCCTGCTTCCTCTGGTTCTGTTGCCTGCTATGAATGTTTCCCAAACTCAACGTCAAGTGCTGGCTCGACATCTTTGAGTGACTGCTTGTGTTCAAAAGGGTTTTTCAAGGATGCCTTGAGCTCGTGCTCTCCATGTTCAAAAGGGTTTTACAAGGACACTGTCGGAAACAGTCAATGTACGCCTTGTATGGAAGGGACTAACAGTTTCGTTGAGGGTGCGACTAGTGCTTTGGCTTGTGTGAAAGAAGGTTTTGTTACGACGACTCCCGTTGAAATCTTGCCGTTGGCTCCTTCCTTGAGGATTGTGGGAGTACAGGACACGAATGGAGCTTATCAGTCCTACGCTGTCGTGAATGCCAATGGGTTGCCCGACATGTGTAGCATTGCTGCAGGCCTAAACGACGAAAGCCTGGCATGTCCTTCCACTGACAGAACATCAAATAGCGTCGTCAAGATTGTTCTCGCATCATCAAGTTTCCAGGCAAAGACCTGCTGTTTTGGCAGAGAAAGTTCAGTCGCTTCAAAGAATATTCTGGTTAAGCCGTTTGCTTACTTATTGATAGACCTCATCATGTCTTCCGATGACGCGAAAAACGTTGACATCAGCCAGCTTGATCCGACAGTGGAGACGATAGCGACGACTCTGAAAACATGGCTTGAAGTAATAACTACACTCTCCTTCCAGGGGTTGAATCGCAGGCAATCAACTATTGTCCAGCCATCTTTCCGTATACTTGCTGTCTCCACTGAGAATGCAAATGAACTGAAGTACAAGGCAGACAATGACCTCGCAGACGCCCTCTTCAAGAGGTTCGGATGGCGGGTGAAGGTACAAAGTAGAATCGTCGAAGAGAACCAGAAGCAAGCAGGGCCACAGCTTCATGTCATCCTCAGTATCGTTGGTGCCAGCTGTGGCAGTCTGATCCTGGTATTTGCTTTGAGAAGAAACAAGGCTTATGTCGCAAAAAACCTTACAGTTGCAATCCGAAGGATGTCAACTCTAGGGAAGTTTGGGTTTCAGGAGCAGCTAAGCACTTCAAATGAGGATGCTCTCACTGCAAGCTCTTGCTCCACGGACCATGAAATAGAAAAAGGTTTGTGCAGTCTCGAAGGCTCTTCTACTACTGGTGGTCAATCTAGCAACTCCACAGCGTCTTCAAGTACTCAAGAGATAGCCAGAAGCTCTGACCAACAATCGGAAGCAACACACGCGATGCTGTCGGAAGGGTCTGCCCACCAGCGACCGGAGCTCCTCTTCTCGAAGCTTCTTGAGCAACCTGAAAGAGCGTTGCCGCATCCAAAAGCCTGCATCATGTGAGCTTGACAATACACAAGACTCTCCTTCAAACGTGACGATGCTGTCGGAAGGGTCTGCCCACCAGCGACCGGAGCTCCTCTTCTCGAAGCTTCTTGAGCAACCTGAAAGAGCGTTGCCGCATCTAGAGGAGTTTGCCAGGACAAGCAAGAGTACCCCCGATCTGTCAGGAGGTATGGCGACGATGCTGTCGGAAGGGTCTGCCCACCAGCGACCGGAGCTCCTCTTCTCGAAGCTTGTGAAGGAGCCTCATCGACCAGCTTGGCTTGAAGAGCTGCACTGCAGGCGTCAGATATCAGCAGAAGCATCTTTCGGATACTTGATGGATGGTCAGTTTGTACCCAAACAAGGGCGGAGGTTGGGCAAGCTGGAGGATGCGGCGCTCTACTCAGGGGATGGGGCTCGAGCGTTTGACCGGGTCCGACATGACTTGCTTCGCTGGCCAACCCTCAGGCCGTCAAGACATCGCTCAAGATACGATGGGATCGGGGCATCCTTTGACGGCGACGAGGATCTCTCTGACCATGCCGAGTTTGGGCCTGACATGTTCCCGGATCATAGTTCCAACGTCTTTGAACGAGTACTACGGTATTGGAAGCGAAGGGAAACTAGAGGGAAGAAATTCTCTGATAGAAGAAGGTAAGACCCATCATGTCGTTTCTTTTCCGCAATGGAACTGATAGAATCTGCAGATCGCAACAAGGCATATCAATCGAAATGGAACTAGGATTGTTATCTTCGTATATTCAAAACTCAGACTTCAAGTTCCAGCCTCTCAAGACTGTGAATGAGACTCGTTTTGGTGATACGATTAAGGAAGTCGGCTTGGATGTAGCTGAGCAATCAATGGAGAAGACAGGAAGACGTGTCTTTAGTTATCCAAGTGGTGCTTTGAATGGTTCAGAAAATAAGCTTGACGATTGTACAGTCAGAGAATACGACAACCAAGGCGAGAACCAACAACTGTTGCTGGACAAACCAATTGGAACAGAAGCCGTCACAGAAACATCCGTGGAAAAGAATTGTATGGATGTAAACAAAACTTTAGGAAAATTTGATTCGAAACGAGAATACTTTCAAAAAACAGAAATTTACAACCCGGTGAATCGCGCGCGTCGTAGAACATTGATTGAACGGAGGTATGAGAATCGTTTCTTCTCAAGTAAGATGATTATAACATCATCTGCAGGCTGTTGAATGATCCTTTACCTTCTTACTCGGAGAGCGCGGCATGTTGCTTGCCCTTTCCTACACGAAAATCAACAAACCCAATAGGAGATGGAGTGAATGAGTATACTTTGTGATTATGACATCATAACCTTGTGACTTGCCGCACCCAGGACAAGCTCTTCATCGGAGATAGAAGATGGTATCAGTCCAGGTTGTTCTGCACTACCAAAGACCAGGTGAGGAGAGAAATCTTGTGGTGATAAAGTCGATTTAGAATTCATGCAGATCCGATCCGGCACGTGAGCGCATTGAAGTGGAGATGGGTTGGTTGGTGTCGCAACCTCAAAAACAGGAAGAGAAAAGCGATCAATTATGAATTTCAAACAAAAAGGATCGACCATTACAGCATAATACAGAAGGCTTTAGAGAACGGTGGCAAGATTGAGCAGAAGTAAAGAGTAGCCTAGGCTGAGGGGATGTACAAGATGTTGCTTTGCAGAAATAGCTCGAAATGAGTCCGACGAAGCTGAGTTTGGCTTGGGCTCGAAGAGAAGACTGTCTGCCGGCTCTGACCTCAGCTCTTTTTGACTTGCTTGCTGCTCATACTCAACGCCTTGAGTTGCAGCACAGCCATAATCGATGATTGTTGCATTTCATCCTCCCATGTCATCACACAAATGTTGTGACAAGAACAAATCGCTGTGCGCACTTTCAGTCTGATCTTGGTAGCATGCACACTTTCAGTCTGATCTTGGTAGCATGCACAACAAGAACGTCACAAAAAGCAGCCAAGGAAGAGTAACGCACAGCTGGCAATCATAATGCTGCCGGTTATCAGTGTTGGCAGTGCTGGGGTCAAGGTGTGCTGTCGGGAAGTCTCAAAACTCCGATTGGAGCCCCTCAGCAGCATGTTCGCTCCAACCTTCTTCTCTGCTGGATACATCACCCAACAAGAAAGCAAAGCCTGTCAAGATCCGCCTTATGGAAGAGCAAGCTCTACAAACTCAAAGTCATCAACAGAGTTTGAGTGAAAGCAATGCAGCCGTGTTCGTTTTGATTTTTATCCATAACTTTTGAACGGTTTGATTTCCAGCTTCCAGTCAATCAGCAGAAAGAGGATTTGGAGAACAGCCTCGGTGTGATTGCCGTAAACGGGTGGCTCATTAGCATATTGTACGAACGAATGACAGATTGACACAACAAATCTTCTGTTTCCGAGCTCCAATCAAGTAATTCATGGCTTGCTGTTGATATGCATGTCATGCTGACCTAGCATGACAACTTGGTCAGCATGACAACTTCCTCAAGGTGGGGTACCTTGAACTTGCTAGGCTTTCTTTCGGTATCAGGACACACACAATCTACAAGCAAGCACGATCAAGCATAGAAAAGATACGTAGGAAGAAACGACAGACAAAGACTGGAGAAATTAACAGCAAGAACATTTACATGGTGAACTGTGTGAACTTTTTACATGATTCTGAGGTCGAGTTTTAAGTGCTCATATATGCATTACGAAAAATCTACACCCAGAAGAATGATGAGATTCGAACCATCTCAAACCAAATAATGTATTCTAAACCGGCGTGAAGCGCGAAAGCTTGAAAGCGTTTTCACTTCATGTAAAATGATGGTTGGCAACGACACGATTTTGTATGTCGAGGCGAGGCGAGCGCACCATCTCCATTTGTTTTCCTAAATAAGCATAAAAGCACATCAGATTGCAATACATTCGTGGAGGTATTCAGATTGTGAAACTTCGTCAAAGCCAGTCAGATAGCAGGACGGTGATGGCAAATTTCATCACTGAACATCAAGTGGAAGACATTGTTGAAGGGCTCATCAACGGCTTTGGGTTCGCATTATTTCGTCACATAGATTGAGCATGGTTTCTTACTTTCTTGCAAACGTCTTCGAAAAGGTGGCAAACCCAGTTTTATCCCCTGTAAATACAATCAGGTAGTGATGAAAGTGTACACTAACACAGATAACAAGGAATGTTCTTTGAGGTAGTACAAATGCATGTGACTCTGAATAGCTTCGGGAGCATTATCATTGTGGCAGGAAATCAAAGCATTTCCACAATCAGCATGGTTGTGCACAAGCAAACCATGAACACCGACCTATGAATCGTTGACACAGTGAATGACGATGCTATTGGACAAGTCTTCTGGCGACTTATGCTGGTCTGCAGCAATCTGTCTCCGCCTCCCGCACGACATGCAGAGGAATGTGGTCGTATGCTCCGCTACCTCACGACCATTTCGCTTTGCCTCCGCCGCTCTGCCAGAGTCCTCTTCTTTCTTTTGATTACCCCACCCCCAGAAACTACTTCGAAAAGTCGCTACCCCCACTGACATACTCCCTGTACCCCATTATTCTCCAGCATGCCTATCACCCCCACCCCTTCACTCTCGAACCCTGCATGTTTCCCCTCTGCCATTTGAGGAGCAGTCACGAGAATTATGTATTATACATAAGCTCAGGGTATTATGTATAATGCTTGAGATCTCAAAAACCGTGACGTCGAGATCGCGGTGTGGTAGACACCCCGAACGGTAAAAGACCGTCGGACCGTATCAAGTAGTCTCGCGATGGACAATGCTGCTATGAATAGTCTTTTCATTGTCCGGTCACTTTACTCAAAGTTAAGTTAAAAATCAGTACGAGGACAATCGGTGGCAGGAGAGTCCGGTCACTGCTACATGTCTCTACCAGCACGACATGTTCTGAACATTTTGAAATTTTATGGTTTGTGTCGTCACGTTTAGCTATCAAAATTAAACAAAAAAAGGAAAACTGGCCGCCCAGCCGCCCAGCGGCGGCACGGCGCCTCGGTGTGTGACGACCGTCACCCCCGGCGGGGGGCCCGGGGGCCGCGGCCGCCACGTTGCTTGAAGGTCAGATAGTCCGACTCATATACTAGCATTTCAAATGTGGCCCCGGCCCCCCCGCGTGAGACTTACGTACACCCGGGGCCACGGTGCCCCCGCCCGCCGCTGGCGCTGAGTCACAGTGCACAGGCCGGCCCCGCTGCCGGGCACTCGGGCCGCTCACGGACGGTGGCACTGAGTGACCGGGCCGGGCCGGGCTCAGACGGTCGGATCGGACCTTTAGGACCGGCCAGTGCTGGCAAACCGTGCCGTGACCCGGCGGCGGCGTGCGGTCCCGGGCCGCCGCCGGCGGGCGTGTGGCCGGGCCGGGCCGCGGGGTGGCGCCGGGTCCACGGTGACCCTAGAAGAGCCGGTAGTTTGACAGTAATCAAAGGGGGTAGTCTAATCGCAAAAGGTGTGCGGGCGAAACGACTTCACGTGCGCGTGATCATGCGGAAGAAAAGTTCGAAGGAGGAGGAGGAGGAGGAGGAGGAGGAGGAGATAGAGGTGGTTGACGGATCCGAATACGACAGTGAAGAAGAAGACCAAGAGCATGGGGGAGGTCACGATGAGGACGAGGAGGACGAAGACGACGAGGAGGATGACGAGGAGGAGTTTGAGATGGAGAAGGCCGCTCTTCTGGCGACAGCGACAGCCAGCATGCCCAAGATCAACAACACCGGGCTTATCATGGAGAAGCTGGGCGACATTGTCCTGGGAGGGAAACAGAAAGTTCCTTGGGTAGAAACATTCTGTGTCACTGCACGCACTACTGCAGAGTCGCTGGTTGAAGATGTGAATGACGACTTGAAACGAGAGCTGGCGTTCTACGACATTGCACTTGCAGGTGTGAAGGATTGTCAAGAAATGTGCAAAAGCTCAGGGATTCCTTATGAAAGACCAAAAGACTTCTATGCTGAGATGGTAAAAACGGATGACCACATGCTCAAGGTGAAAAAACAGCTAATTGAGCAATCCGCAAAGGTCGAGGCGGCAGAAATCCGCAGGAAGCAGAGAGAAGCCAAGAAGTACGGCAAGGCACTACAAGTTGAGCGAAAGATTGAGAAGGACAAAAGAAAGAAGGATGAGCTGGAAAGCATTTCAAAATGGAGGAAGAATCAAAGTTTGCAGAAAGACATGGACAAGGAAGAGGAACTCTTGAGTTTTGCAGGTTCTCGAGAAAAGAAGAAGGGTCTGGAAGAATTCGTCAATGAGAAGAAGGGAAGATTCAGTGACGCTTCTCCTCGAAAATCTGCCAAGAGAGTTGCGGCCGATAAGAAGTGAAGATACGATGCTTGATTGCCAAGCTTCCTAATTTCTGCATACAGGTATGGGAGAGGAGGAAGAGCAAGGACTCTAGCAAAGAGAAATACGTTTGAAAGCTCGCATGACATGTCTGAATTTTCTGCCAAGAGGAACAAGCAGCTGCCTCCAGGTTTTGTCGCATTGAAAATTTCGATGCTTCGTTGTATGATTTCTTCTCACGGCCTCTTGTGTTGCAGGAGTCAAGAAACCTGACTTCAAAGGGAAGCCCAAGAAAGGCAAAGGACAACGACCAGGAAAAGAGCGAAGACAAAAAGGACATTCACGAAGAAAGTGATTCTGACATCCTGTGCACACCCCTGACATTAATCTGTATGAGTAAAATATGGATACATATCTCGCTTTCTGAACCAGAAAACAGAATTCGCCATTACTTGTCTCACACAGTGTGGAATTCGCTCGGCCGGCATTCGAAAGCAATTTCCAATGGCAATTAACAGTAAAGTAATTGTTGTTTAGCAAAAGATGTAGCGATCGCATTCTTTGATGGGTCCTGCAGCGGTGCACGTTTGCCAAACCAACATGTTCAGATAGCCGTGTTGAACTCAAACTTGAACAACATGTTCAGATAGCCGTGTTGAACTCAAACTTGAACGCGATTCCAACCTGTTCTTGAGTCGAACGTCTTCTCTTCAAGTCCAACAGGCAACTCGTCAGGAGTCTCTCTAGAAAGTGAAGTAAAACTTGGCATGAGTTTTACAGTGGTTAGTTATCTTTTTTTTTATTTTAGTTTTCTTTTTTTTCAATTTCTTTGTTCGAATCGGAACCAGTATTTGGCGGAAAGCAAGGCGATCTCCTCCTCCACATCAACCTCTTTCTCCTCTAACCCACCCCGAGGTCGTCCCAGTCTCTCTCCATCGTCATCCTCATCCTCCGTGATGTTGTACACTTCGATGTCAGGCACCACAACTTCCTGCCTGTCCTCTTTCTATCAATACTAACGAATCTACCTCTCGTCTACATCATCTGTTTCTCATATCAACACCAGAAATCATGAACGGAGACAATTGTGTAATCAATGAGTTCATGCAACAAGCACAAGTATTCTCTTCTTTCTTGAAGGCGAGTCAGTATCGTTGCAATGAGATTTGTCGAACAAGTGATGGTTTGTATGCAAACTTGATGCAGTCTTTCCAGAGCGAAAAGCATCGGCTTCACCTCATCTCTCTTCTTGAATCCACACCGAGCCCCATGCATGCACAATCGCAATCGCATGCATATAAACTTGTGAAAATTGACAAGTCGCAAGTGAAAGAGATCAAGAGCGAACTATTGTTGAGTCGATGGAGTGGCTTGGTTGACCCCATACAAGTACAGGCAACTAGAAGATCGCAATACCCACACATTGATCGAGTTCTCCTAGCAAGGAGTAAACGACTGCACGGCCTCAAGGAAATTTCTGAGCTGCCAGAGCGTCAGCATTCATTGAGTGAAGTATGGAGTGAAGTGAATCAAGACAGATTCGTCGAGTCGCCCAACAAGCATGCGTCAGAGTGTTGTACAGCTGAAGAAGCTGTCAGTTCAGTCACGGAATCAAATAGCCACTGTGAAATCCACGAAGCGTCTCCTCCCTCGCCTCAGATTTCACGCGCAGAGGGCGAAGAGATCAAAGTGGCGTCAGACCGATCGACGATGGTAAAGGAACACGGCGATCAGATCCAAGGCCATGGTGATGACGATTCCTACATGCCTCAAGAAGAGGCGACAATGGCGCGCGAAGTTTTTGTCGCTTTCTTGCGGAGAACATCAGCATTGTGCGAATACGTAAGAAAGATGATCTATGTGTGATGACCTGACACATGCAAAAGGAAAAGCTGCAGCACTCATCACGAATGATGCAAGTGAGGGCATGGAGAGTGGTGGCTTGGTTGGTGCTGACACTCAGTGAAATAGGAGGTTGAGCGACTTCAATTCCGGCGAACACGAGATAGGTTGATGACGATTCTGCGAGAACTGAAAGCGACTTGCTTGAGCCGAAGCCGTCTCAGATCTTGTCGTCATGTGATCGAGGTAGACACAATCTTCCCGCTGCTGCTCTTCTCACATATGGACGAGGTTCGACAGTGCGTCTTCCGTCAACGCGTCACCATGAATGCATGGAAGCTCCTGACGTCAAGCCGCAAGGCTTGGCGGTCGGACCTTGTGGTAGCACGGCATGCTTGCACTACTCTCTCATTGGTGCTTTCCAGCATGGCTTCCAAGACAAAACCCGCGCCGCCTTCTTGTCTTCGCGCCTTCGACTTTGGCGACGGTGACGCAAAAGGCCTTTGCTAGCTTGCTTGACTTGCCTGCGTAGGCACCTGACACGTCACGTGTGCCCGCCCGATCGCCCTCCCTGCCACAGGTTGACACGCTGGTTGTTGCCAGGGCTGACGTCATGCAGATGCCGAGAAACTTTGAGTACCGTAAAAAGCTGAAAGGTGGACCCTTGAAGGTACCAAGAGCTGAGCAATCATGGATACCATCAGAAACCGTGGTTCAAACTCTCATATTTTTAAATTTCATTCATGAATTCAAAGCTTCATATTGAAGTTCGTCCAGTTTCTCTTGAATCTTTTTGTAGACTTCGTCTGCAATCTCGAGCTGTGAAATCAAATCACCGACACCACAACATCATCTCGACTCTCAACCTCAAGCTCGGCAGAAAGAACGTTGAACTCAGCTCTCTTCCTGTTCACAAGCGCATCGAATGATTTTGCCTGCCCCAGCCCTCAAGTCACCACGCCTTGTTCACACGCCTATTTTACACTACAATCTACTCTTGTGACTCACCTGCAGCTCCTTGAGCTCATTCCGAGCCATCCTCAGCTGAATCTCCAGCTTGTCCACCTGCTCATTGTAACCTGATATCGCTTGGACACGGCTCCTAACCTCTTCCGACAACCCGCTAGGAAGCGAGCAGAAGACTGAGAGCTCGGCTCTCGGCGTCTGAGCCTGGTGAGAGAGTCAGTCAATCCCGCGAGCCGTCGCTCAACAACACACGACATCCGAGGGAGAGGCCTGCAGCAGCGTGAGGGGACAGAGGAGAAGCGAGCAAGACGACCTGAGGAATCATCCTGGGAGTCCCTGGGTTGGAGCCGCTAGGTACAGGAGACCTTGTGGTGATGAGGGTGAGATGAACTCAGCCGAGAATCAGCAGCTCACATTGTTCGCGGGCTGCCTGGGGCAATCGAGCCCTGAAGAGGACGATGAGGTGGAGCCAGAGGCGAGGAGGAGGAGGAGGAGGAGGAAGTGGTACCTGTTGCCTCAAGGCTGCTACTCGTGTGGGGGTGCCTGTCAGCGATGTCAACCTCCTGCTTGCCGCTCATGCTTCAGACCCGTGACGCCTGGGGGGAACCCTGGGTGAGGGCTGAAGCCCATCCGTGAAGCCTGCGAGGGGCCGAGGGTAAGAGGAGAAGGCTCACTGGTGCCGGAGGAGAAGCCGGAAGTCGAGCTGTGACTCTGCTGGGCTGACTTCAACGTCACCGTTTCGCGTCTCAAAGCTTGTCAGACGTACCTGAACCTGCAGGTCCCGGAGCTGACGCGCTCGCCAAGTCTTGAGGCACAAGTCATCCACCAGCACCTATCTGGGGAGATGCCACGTCACCTGTACTCGTCGAGCTCGCCGAGTTTGCGTGCGGCGACTGAGAGAAGTTGTTGTGACCGGTGCGAAAGGGCGTGCGAGGCGAGCCCGGCACGTGAGGGTTGTTTGGGATGTTCACCTGTAGATTTCGATTGCTGTCCTGCAACGTCTTGTCCATCTTCTTGTCGCTGCCCTCGTTGCCTGCCCCCAAACCCTCGCCAGCCGCTGCCTTCTCCTCTGATGGCGCAGCCGGATGCTGCTGATCCCAATTTCCTTGCTTTCCTCTTCCTCCTTGGTCCCAACCGCTGCGTGGGCTGGCATTGCCTTGCCAACTCCGATCGCCACCTGATCCCACGACTTGTCCCTGACCAGGGTAAGGAGGCTTCTGCTGGCTAGAACCGTAAGGAGGAGCATAGCTAAACCTGCTCTGGTACGCCGGTGGCGGCTGCGGTTGCTGAGCAAGCGATGGGTTAGGCTTGGGAGGATTATACGAGACCCCTTGCACGCTTGGATCAGAGCTGCGGGGAGGAGGAACTGCTTGTTCATGCTGCCACTGCTGCGGCTGCGATGGCGTCTGCTTGGCTGGATGCGCCTGTTGAAAATTGGGGGGTCTTGCTGGCTGTTGCAGGGATGGGGTTTGAGGGGCCGAAGACAAGCCCTGCCTTGGCTGCTGGTGGTGGGGGTGCATTGGAGCATGCATAGGGTGAAGGTACTGCTGGGAGAAGTGAGGCTGATGAGGGAAATGTGGGCCTTGATGAGGGAAACCAGGAGGAGGTCCATGGGGATGGGGAGGAGGATGAGAATACCCAGGAGGAGGGCCGTGAGCATGGGGGTACGGTGGGGGAGGACCCTGGTTGGGCACGAGTGGAGGTCCACCCGAGCTCAGAGGATTCTTGGGATCTGCAGAGGACCTCGGACCCGGCACGTCCCTCCTGCCGTGCACGTCGTGGGGAACATGTCCACCACGTCCGTAGGAGTAGAAACCTGGTGCATCCCTGAACCTGGGAGACTTGAAATCTTCTCGACCCCAGCTCTCTCTCCGACCATCGATGCCGGAATTTGCTCCTGTCCCTCCTCCTCCTCCTGCCCCTCTATCAGGCCCTCGAGGAGACGACATATGGTCAAGTTCTGCACGCGGAGCTCCTCGAGAGGGAGACGGATATCTATCGAAACCACTGAAACATGAGTCAGAGGAGAAAGACTGAAGGGATCGTGCACAGATACATATGCGGTAGGGAGGAGAAAACGAGGAAAGAAGATGCAACGCAGCAGGGGAAGAAGTTCGAGCAGGACAAGAAGAGAGAAACGTCTTCAGGCTGCTATCACCTCTTCGTCTCAGGGTGAAGTTCCATCGAGGGGGGTGGGCGATCTGACGAGAGGGATGAGTCAGACAAACGGCATCATTCAGAGACCAGCCCTCATGTGCATGAAAACCTGAAAAGTTGCTCGCGCTCCGCCACTTGCCCACGCTGCCATCGCCACCTGGTCGAGATTCTGCAATCGAAGTTACAAGAGACCTATGGAGTATCACTACAATGAGGCGAGGGGGGACGGGCAAGAGCTTGGGGAGGAGGGGCCGGAAGGAGAAGGAAGGCATGGTGGGATGTGGGGAGAAGCGGGGTGAGGAGGGACATGGGGCTGGGGAGAGGAGAAGGGGAGTATTGAGGACAATGCTGATATGACCTGGTTGTTGAGGTTCCCCCTGCCCAAAGGTGTAAGAGGAGTGGACAATCAGTTACAATCCAAGGGGCTCTACCTTTTGTGGCGAAGGTCTTGCATAAGGATGATGCCCTTGTCTGCTCATACTAGTCCTGCGATCCACTCAGTCCTTGAACTTCTTCCAGCTTCCCACATGTGTGTGCATGTGGGCATCGAATCCCAATATCTCCACTGTAGATGGCAACCCTGATTTCTTTCTTGCCCTTATCCACTCCTCCTCCCTCCGTTCATCATGGTTTGCCATCTATCTAGTTTCCTATCCTAGCTTGTTCTTACATCCACTCCCTACTCCACCTCGGTAACCTCGTGCGTTTGAATGGTGACTTGCTGTGACGTCCTTGCATCGAATTCAATGGTTTCCTTCAGGTAGAACACTTCCCCAACGAAGATGTTTCACTTTCACGTAGTGATCGTTCTTAATTCTCTCTCTCCCTCCCTCTTGCGTCCTCCTCTTCTCTCTTCTCCCTCCCTCCTCGCAGTCTCATCAGCATTTCCACTCATTCAGCTTCCAGGGGGCCTGCGCGGTGACGAGGGACTCTCTCATTCCACACCCGCCCAGCAGGTTGGTCACCCTCTTGCCTACCCCACCCCTTACCCTCACCCTACCCCAGGCACCCGCACCCTCGTGGACCCCATGATTCAAGGCCATGTCACATATCGAGGATGGAGTTCATTCACCACCCCTCCATATGCGTTTACCAGCATATCAATACTACCCCTGGTAAATGACCCCAATAGCTACACCTCCGCCGTTTGAGCTCCCACATGGGGGTAGGATGCAGGAGGAAAGAGGGGTAGGGTAGTCAAGAAGATAGCGTGGAGGAGTTGGACATCCCCAACATGGGTGGGGTGGTTACAATGTGTTATGCATGACGGGTTAGACTAGGCTTGAATCCAGGGTGGGGTTCCTTCTGAAGGGGGGTCCGTGGTGTGAGGGTAGGGTAGGGAAGGGACAAATTGAGGGGGTAGGGGTCTCTACGTGAGGATGTGGCATGAGCGGGAAGTGAAGGAGGCTGTAGGACAGATGGCACTTGTAGTGACGTAGGATCAGTAGTAGTAACAGCAGTAGTAACAGCAGTAGTAACAGCAGTAGTAACAGCAGTAGTAACAGCAGTAGTGACAGCAGTAGTAACAGGAGTACTGCTATCCTGAGCAATAGGAGTAGGAGTAGGAGTAGGAGTAGGAGTAGGAGTAGGAGTAGGAGTAAGAGGGGTTGAGGAAACAGGAATAGGAGTAAGAGGGGTTGAGTAACTGACATGGAGGAGGGAGTAGAGTCAGTAAGGGTCATAGAGGATTTTTGGAATCATGGACAGGAAGAGAAGTAAACTCGGTTGGACTGGATCTTTGCTGCATTAGAAGGTTGATAGTGGAAAAACGGATGAAAAAGCAAGTGTTTCAGACGACGCTTTGAATAGTAGAAATGACATAGGGGGAAGGAGGGAGATGGGAGGTGTGAAGATGAACAAATGGTGGGTAATGATAGGGGCTCTCCCCTGGGGATGTATTGAAGTGCATGTATTGAAGGGCATGTATCGCTGACTGGTATCGCGAACAGGTGGCGATGTGGGAGTGGTTTTAGGGGCCTTGTTGGTGCAATGATGAGGAAGGGCTTCTCCCTTTTGTTGCCCTTGCTGCTTCTGCTCTTTTCGCAGACGACCATAGGAGATGAAGCTGGGGAGGCTGTCAAGTACTACATTGTGATCGATGCAGGAAGCAGCGGTTGCCGTATCCACATCTACCGATACTTTTTTGCCCGAGGAGAGTTACTTCCTACCATCTCTCTCCCCGACAAGAAGCTCAAGAAAAGCCCTGGCTTGTCCTCCTTCGCCTCCAACCCCAGCGATGCTGGAGCGTCCTTGGCCGGACTGATCGCGTTCGCGATGGAGAATGTCCCGAAAAACTTTCACGCCACTACCCCAGTACGCCTGGCCGCCACTGCAGGGCTGAGAATGGTGCCTACCGAGACAGCTAAGCTGATCCTTGACAGCTGCTACGATTACATGTCGAAGAACTCGCCGTTTCTGATCAAGCGCGAGAAGATTTCAATCATATCTGGACAGGACGAGGGAGCGTTCGGGTGGCTAAGCCTGAACTTCCTGCTCAAACGGCTTGAAGGAATGGTGGACGCTTCGCTGGGAACGGTGGGCACCATCGAGATGGGGGGAGCTTCGGCTCAAGTGACTGTGCAAATCGGACGGGAGGTGGCTAGCGAGGAGGACAGCTATCCTACGACATATCAGCTGCACTTGGACGGTCAGACCTACAAGCTCTACGTGCACTCGTACCTTGGGTTCGGTCAGGAGCAAGCGAGACATAAGTACAACGAGATGGTGACCGACGAGCAAGACCCCTGCTTTCCCGCCGGATACGTGAAAGACGCGACCATCAAGAGCGACGAGTACGCGGGGAGGTCAGGCGGCCCTGTGGTTGGGACGGGGAATTTCTCTCATTGCAAGAGGAACGTTGATCGTCTTTTCAAATCCGACAAGATGTGCAGCACTCCTCCTTGCTCGTTCGCGGGGGTCCATCAGCCTCGGTTCTGGGAGAGCAAGCAATCCAAGGGCATCGTGCTGTTCGAGAACTTCTTCCACAGCTCTCGAGCTCTGAGCATGCCCAACATGGAGACCGGAGTGACGGTAGACTCCTTCCTAGTCGAGGGGTCCAAGTTCTGCTCCCTGAGGTGAGCATGCTTCTGAGGCGTTGTGGTTGTCATGCCGTTGACAAGGTGGGAATCGATCAAGAAGCGGGCGGAGAACGGGCTGTACCCGCTGATGGAGAAAGACAAGGACAACAAGCTCTGCTTCAGCATGGCCTACCTGTCCTCCTTCTTGGGTTTGCACTGCCCTCCTCTTCCTCCTCACCTCTCATGTTTGCGCAGAGAGGGGCATCGGCATCCCGCACTCGTACAAGATGCGCGTGCTCGGGGAGGTGCAGGACACGCCGATCGAATGGGCGCTGGGGATCATGCTGCATGAAGTGATGGCAACAAGCATGCAACCGAGTGAGCGGAGCTTCTGCTCCCCGTGCGCTCCTTCTTACTTCCTCTGCAGGCCATGCGCTCACCACCACGCCAGCCTCCGCTGCCTCAAGGTCAGACACCGCCGCCTCCTCCGTCACCGAGCCGGCTCCCTTCAAGTACCGTGCGCAGCAGGGGCAGGCAGACCTGCAGCGGGCCGTGCAGCATGGCGTTGCGGTGGAGCGAGCCAAGTACAGCCTGTCGCACGGAGAGTTCGGGCTGGAGCAGCCGACGGAGACGCGGGGGATGTCAACGAGCACGTTAGCGGGGCTGGCAGTCTTGTTGGTAAGCCACCATGTTTACCATCTGCTTGTTTTCCTTGTCGGGTTCAACCTTGTGTTCCTCGTATTGATTGTCGATCGAAACCATCAAGGGCGTCGGCGGCTTCTTGGCATGGCGTCGCTCTCGTCCTGGCCGGCTCAAGTCATACCGAGGAGGTCAGTGATGCGCGTCTGCAGCCTGTGCTCTTCCTCAAGCTCTCGCCTCTGCTTGTTGGCCCTCTCGTCTCTTGTTCCTCGCAAACTCGGCTTGTGCTGTTTCCAGGGCTCTAGCGACCCGCCTGTGTCGCTCCCCCTGTAACCTCACGCCCTCTCCTAGAAGGTGGTGGACCCAAGTACGTGATGCGATCCGACGACATCGAAGCGCAGAATATCGTGTGGGGGGGGAAAGAGCACTAGCGGCGAAGGAGGAGGAGACTTGCCGAGTGCATACGCGCACATCTTCATATACATTTTATTTGATTAAACCTTTGAAAGTTCTCCTTCCTCCTCCTCCTCCTCCTCCTCCTCCTCCTCCTCCTCCTCCCTCCTCCTCCCCTCACTTGTCCTCTCCTGCTCCTTCGACCCGCGGGATCTGTGAGCTGAGTTTGTCACCGTAGCTTCTCCCCACGTTGCCAACAGCATCCACAACACTCCTGAGCTTCCTGCTGCAGCATTAGGACGACTGAATTGGGACGTCGCGTGACGAGAGGAAGAGAGATGGACTGAAGAAAGACAACGAAGACGAAGAGGGAGAGGAGGAAGTGAACCTGTTGTGCGCCGTGAGTTTGTCATTGCTGTGCTTGAGCTTTGAGTTCTCCTGTCATATGGTCACGATCGGAGGGATAAAGACAGCAAGATAATGCTCTGGAAATGAGAATGAGAAGATAAAGATGATGGCGGTGTTGGTGGTGGTGGTGGAGGAGGAGGTGGTGGTGGTGATGATGATGATGGAGATGATGATGATGGAGATGATGATGATGATGATGATGATGATGATGATGATGATGATGGAGATGATGATGATGATGATGGAGATGATGATGATGGAGATGATGGAGATGATGATGATGATGATGATGGGAAAAGGAGGAGGAGGAGGAGGAGGAGGAGGAGGAAAGGTGCAGAAAGAGGAAGGGAGAGGGAACAGGAGAGAGGAGAAACGTACCTGATGCAACACAAGCCCAATCCCTCGCACATTCTCCAGGAGGACGAGGATGCTGTCAGTTTGATCAAGACAACCCTGAGTGACATAGCGAGTCTTCTCCTCTTCCTCCTCCTCTTCACGACTCGTCTCCTGCCGTGTCCCCTGTATGTCTTGCAGACTGTCGAACAAGAGGGGCAGCATGGAGCGAAGGCTCCTCTCAACCTCCTGCTTGATCGCCTGATACCGGGCAAGGACAGAGGCGTTTGACCCGCGCAAGACGAGAAGCTCCCTGCTCTGCTCTTCCTTCACGCGCGAGGAAACCTTCTCCTCCTCGCGCAGTTCAGCAATGGAGGAGCGGAGGGTCTGAATGTCCTGACTGCTATGCTGGAGCTCAAGCTTGGAGTGCGCGAACAACTTCTTGTAGTGCTCGAGGCTCTCAGAGAGGCAGGACAAGCGATCTTGTGAGGACGACAAGCGAAGCTCGGAGACTTCCAGATGCTCCTGCATCCTCCTCATCGCCTCCGCCGCCTCCTCCTCTCTCCGTCTTCTCTTCGCCGCCTCCTCCGCTAGATCGCGCACACTCGCGCAACAAGCAGCAACGTCTCTTTGCACATCCTCAGCAAACTGCCGGCTGGTGCTGCTCCATCGCTCATGCTGCATCCTCCACTCGTACTGCAGGACCGAGACTGTTGCAAGGAGCTTGCTGACCTTGCCCTCTGCCTGCGATAGTCCTTGCAGCAGATCTCCTCCTCCTCCTCCTCCTCCTCCTCCTCCTCCTCCTCCTCCTCCTCCTCCTCCTCTATTTCCTGCCTGCCTTTTGATTCTCTCTTCCTCCTCCGCTTCGACTAGCCTTGCGACATCAGCGCAGAGAGATGCAAGAAGCTCGAGGAGGAGGAGGGGGAGCTGCTTGAGAGCAGCGAGTTGGATGCAGAGGCCCTGAAGAAACACGCAAGTTTCTCTCCTGGACAGCTGACAAGTCACCTGCTCGTGCTGGAGGGCGACGACCTGCTCTTGGAGCCTGAGGGCCTCCTCCTCGGCTGACTTGCGTCGGTCGGAGAGGACGAGAAGTTCTCGCTGCAGCCTCGAGTTGTTGGCGGCGGAACGAGCGACAAACTTCTCGAGAGGAGAGCAAGTCTTGAGCCAGAACTCCTCGAAGACGCTCATGAGCAGCCATCGCTCTCGCTCCTTGACGACAAACTCCTGACACTTGTCGATCTTGAGGAAGGAGAATCTCAAACTTCGTTGCGCCTCATCTCGTTGCTGCTTCAGCCTCTCTGTCTGCTCCAGTCTGCCCTCCTTGTCCTCCATCAGACTCATCGTCCTCGCCCTCCACTTCTCCACCTCCTCTTCCAGTCTCGCGGACTCCTGCCGCAGACTTTCCACCTCCTCGGTCGCTTCCTTCCTCTCACGCAGACATTTCGCGTGCTCCTTCCCCAGCTCCGTGTGCTTCCTTTCCAGGACTTCAAGACTGCTCCAGGCCTTGTTCAGCGAGCTCCTCGCCTCCTCCCTCTCCTCCTCACTCTTGGCGAGCTTCGCCGTCAGCCTCCTCGTCTCTGCCTGGGCCTCCTCCTTGTGCTTCTTGTAGTCGCCGAGAATGGCTGTGAGCCGCTCCTGGCACGCGCTGAGCTCGCTCTTGGTCCAGCTGAGGTTCACCAGATCGAGAGACTGCGGCAGGGATGACAGAGTCTGCTTGACCTCCTCCATCTTCCTTACGATGACACTGCGCGAGGGCTGGGAGGAGGAGGAGGAGGAGGAGGAGGAGGAGGGACGAGGAGAGGACGGCTGTTCAGGGAGGAGAAGGGAGGAGACATTGAATTTCCTCTCGATGGTCTGAAGCAGCTGCTGGTAGGAGGAGGAGGCGCTCTGATAGTCCGCCTTCAGCTCCCTCAGCTCCCCTTGAGTCCTCTTGTGCTTCTTCTTCTCCCCCTCCAGCTCTGCCGCCAGCAGACGCAGCTTCAAGGCTCCAGAGCCTTCGCGGCAAGAGCCTTGCAGAAGAGAGCCTCCGACGTGTCTTTTGACCAGCACTGAGAACTCCAACGATTCAGCTGGACGTCTTAGTCGCAACTTGACAAGGGTGTTTGAGTCCCCGCAAAGAGTCTCGCGGACTTGCCGGGCCGAAAGGTTTCGGACTTGAATGTCATCGACCTCTAGCAGCTCGTCGTTGACTTTGACTTCCTCGTTGTCATACCCTTCGCTCCCCTGCCTCCTCCCCTCTCTGTCCATCAAGTCCACCACTCTCAGCACGTACGCGTTCCCTGGCATTGTCCTGCTGTCCGCGATCTCCAGACCAATATGAGCTTGACCACCCATGGCCAACTCCTGCTCCTCCTCCTCTCCTTGTTTCGAGCCCTCTTGGTCGAACTCTCCATTTTCATCGCCGCTCTCGCTTTCCTCCATCACCTGCTCAAGAAAACTCTGGTGAGGATGGACGGGATAAGAGGTGAGAAATTGTACAAACCCGGGGATCATGGGTCGAGCATCTCAACGATGTCTCTGCAATCAGCAGCTTCTCTCGCAACGCCATGATGACTTTGTCTTTCTCCCCGAGACTTGCTCGGTGCGCGTGCTCAATCCTCTCCTTCTCCATCTCGTGCGCATGTTGCAGCTTCCTCTTCACAATCTCAGCCATTTCCTCGCAATTTCTCTCATGGAGGTCTTGCCGATTTTTCATGTCAGCTATCAGTCTCTTCAGCTCGTCGTTCTCAGTCATGATGCACCGCAACTTCGTCGTTGAGTCGTTCACTTGCCTTTCCAGTGCACACCGTCTCATTTCGTCCTCCTCCTCATGGCGCGACCTCCACTCCTCTCTCCCTGCAAGGGTCTCTCGCTCGGACTCGATGAACTTGATCTGATTCTTCAGATCGTCTATGTGCGCCTGCATGGAAGCAAACACTTCCTCGTTCCCCGAAACCATTTGCTGTAGATGCTTATTCTTGCTTGTCAGAGACTCGAGCATCTCAATGCTATCATAGGTCATGTCTCGCACCTCCTTCAACCTGCTCGTCTTGTCTTCCATTGTATCTGAGACGGGAACGGCAGACGGCTGCGATAGACCCAACTTCGGGGTAACTAGTACAAGTCTTTTCCACATCTCCTCAACGATATCATACTGGCTCTCAACACTCTGGAGTAGAGAGAGATATCGATCGTTCAACATCTTACTTTGAGTGCTCTGCACACTGACAATCTCCAGGGAAACGTCAATGGTTTCAATGCTCTCGCCAATCAAACGGTTCATATCTAAGCCAAAAGTTCTCCGTGCTCGTTTGATGTCTTTGCTCATACTCGAAAGTTTTTCTTTCGTGCTCAAAGTCTTGAGATTCAGCTGCATGACTTGCTTCTTCAAACTCGTCACGTTGGTTTCCAACGCTTGGCACTCTGTGCTTTGAGACTTCATTTTCGCTTTAAGGATGTCGTTTTCTGCCTTTACGTATTCCATCTCCTGCAGACTTTGCTGCACTTGCTCCTGAGACTTCCTCGAGCTGTTCAATCGAGCTGCATGGCTTGACCTTGCCTGCTCTATGGCATGATTGCGCAGACTGTTCAGCGTTCTACCCAGCAAACGAAGACGATGAGATCGCAGATGAAAGCTGCTTCGTACCGCCAGTCTCAGCCGTTTTCCCCATACCCGGAGCCCCCAGGACAAGGTGGATCTTTCCCTCCTCGAGCGCATTAGCCCCTCCATCGTCCTCGCCCACTTCATCCACTTCCCGCTCTCCCCCCAGATGCGGATCGCCCGCCGCATCATCCTCGCTTCCACCGCCATTGTGTGCGAGAAGGGGTGCTTTCGACCGGAAAAGGCATTGAACTGGAGTAGGGTAGGGTAGTAAAAAAACATGTCAAACTTGGAGGTCAGTTTTGACTTTATGAAACCGTCACACTGGCAGGCTGACCGTCGGACCCCTCGGGCCGGCCCCGGGCCCGGCGACCGTTAAACGGTTATCGACCGTTCAACGGTTCCCTGAGAGTCGGTGACCGTCGATAGGGGGATAACGAAGCCGTTGGGATCTTGACTCAAGTTGCTGTTGACTTTGCTGAGAGGATATGCGGCTGAACGACGCGAAATCGAAACGCCTCGAGCAAGGCACGTGGAGGGAGTTGAAGAGAGCGGAGGGGGCCGGAATTGAGATACGAATAAGAAACTTTTGACGGGGTTCGGTCACAATCTCCCCACACGAGATTTTTAGTACACGGATTCTGTTCGGATCGCCACTCCGCATCGATTCTCTCCCATCGCTGCCATGCCCTCTCCTGCCTCCTCCCTCTCTTCCTCCTCCCTCTCTTCCTCCTCCCTTTCTCCCTCCTCCCTCACTCCCTCCTCTCCCTCCTCCCTCACTCCCTCCTCTCCCTCCTCCTTCCCTCCCTCCTCTACTCCTCTTCCAATGACTCCTATCTTCAAGCCTCCTCAGACCATTCGCATTGTCTACCCTCGCAAGTCTTCCCCCTCCCAATCTGATCGATCGCAACCCTTCTGCCGTATCACCTCAGAGCTCCTTCACTCCCTCAGGCTCACGCACCTGACGCAAACCGACGCTGCTCGTCACCTGGTGAGGTCTCCCGTGCCCACTCTCTTCCTACTGTGCTCCTCGCTCTTTCTCCTTGTCCCTGCTCCGATGACGACGGGCGGCTGATTGTTTGCGTCCCTCCCAGGGCATCTCTCTCTCTGCCCTCAAGAACGCTTGCAAGGCGCTCGGGCTCGGGCGGTGGCCATACTCGAGGAAAAAGGCCCCGAGGCAGAGCCGAGCAAAGGCTCTCGCCGACCAGCAGAAGGTGATGGAGCCTCGCCCGACCGATCACGCGGCAGATCAAGCGTATGAGACGTGTCCGGAGCATGCGGAGCTGGGAGAGAGACGGGAAGATACGAGGGATGAGTGGGAGTATGCAATCGAGGAGGAGTGGCTACGGTGGTATATTGAGGGAGAGCTCGAGGAGGGCGAGGAAGAGGGCGAGGAAGAGGGCGAGGAAGAGGGCTCGTTTGCATATGAATGCCCAATTAAAAGACCATGAGTGACTTCATAACGTTGAAGATATTGCAATTTATTTGTTGCCCTTTGGATAATCCTTGAGATCTTTGCCAATTACGTGACTGTGCGACTATGTGTATCGTCCCACCGCCTGCATGATATAAAGAGTCAAGGAGAGAGGGAGCAGCAGGAGAGGGCATGCCAGCAAGGCTTGTCTTGTGGTTTCTTTAGTGACCCCTCATTTGATCTCTGGCCAGTATCAAGTTTCACCAGGGCTGAGGCGGGCCGGGGGCCATCCAGCTACTTATGGCGCCGGGTATGCCAACTAAACTTTGAGTTGAGCCCGCCTCTGCCTGTTGGGCCCGACATGCAATGCTGCTCCACCGTAACCATTGCAGCGACGCTGGCGGCGATGACAGGTGAGGGAAGCAGACCAGGAAGGTGTAGGATGTTGATGAGGGTAATCTACATGGTCGGAAGACAAAGACATGTTCAAGTCAAAGAGATGAATATGTTTGATCGCAAGCCATAAAGCAACATGGCATGACGAGATTGTGTCATTTCCTCAGGGGGGCTCGCGTACATGAATTCCCTGCATGGAGACATGGTCTTCGACGATGTCCATGCCGTGCAGAGAAACCCGTAACCTGTTCTTGTTGAAGGTCAATAGGCTGACGAAGGTGTCAGGGATGTGTTGGGGAAGAAGCATATTTACGAGATGTTCTTCGATGACTACTGGGGGGATCCGATAGCCTCGAACGAGTGAGGCCTTTGATCATCGAGAGAGGGAGGGAGAAGGTCCTTCTGGTTTAGAAGGATTAGATTTCTGTTGTTGGACGGTGGGGGGGAGGAGGAAGGGGGAGGGGGGGGGGAGAGGAGGGGAGAGAGGAGGAAGATTCTGACTGATTGCGAAGATCTCATAAGTCGTATCGTCCTCTCACAATCCTCACGTTTCGTCTCAATCATATCGTGCATGGTGATCTGTTGCTGCAGCCTCGCCTGCCATGACTCGCGAGGCAGGGCTGGATCCCTTCGGTTACCACGTGCTCAACGTTGTGTTCCATTCCCTCGTCTCTGCTGTCTCCTGCCTCGTCTACCAGAGGTGAAGTCGTCAATGTCTTGCTCCATTGGCCATCTCGAATGACGAAACATCATTTCATGACATGACATGTCATAACACAACTTTCTTTATCAGGTTTCTGGGTCCCGTCGCGGCCTTTTGTGCTGCTTTGCTGTTTGCCTTGCATCCTGTAAGGGAGAGACTGTGAAGGTCGCGGGCCTGAGAGCAGGATGGCAGGTCCACTGCGAGGCCGTGAGCTCCATCGTAGGACGAGCTGACGTCTGTGTTGTGTGCTTGAGCGGCATGGAGCATGACCATTACAGCAGACCCTGAGTGCCCTGCTCGGATTGTTGTCCTTGCTTGCCTTCACAAAGGAGGCTCCTCCGGCATGGAACGTCTGCGAGGACGAAGCGCATGTCCTCTTAGCTCATCCTTCTTCCTCCTCCCGCCATGTCCGCTGCTTGCTGGTTGGATCGGCCCTGGCGATCTTGTCGTTCCTGTGCAAGGAGACTGGTGAGAACGAGTGCTGGTTGACGGGCTGTGAGGGATTTGCCTCGCAGGCATCACGGTGTTGGGATACCTCTTGGTGCAGGACTTGATGTCTGTGCTGGCATACCAGGTGAGGATGAGCTGGGGTTGTAAGAGGAGGAAGTGAACTTGTGAACCTGCAGGGGATCTTCCGCCGATGCTCATGGAGCGATGAAGCTGAGAGCCGGGATGAGAGCTCGTCATGTGGCGAGGAGAGTGATGGAGACGTGTGGGAGGAGAGCGAGGAAGAGGACGACTTGCAAGACTTGATCCCTGCTGCGTGAGTTCTGGCTAAAGTTTGCTCGCCCCTTGCAGTCAAAACTCATCGTGGGAGGGCAGGGGAGGAGGGAGGTCAGTCAAGTTCAAGTCTGTGGTCAGTAAGCCGTGGTTTCCGTGCTGTCTGGATGGCAACGAGGTCCAGAGGGTGAAGGAGAAGCTGTTGGAGTATCAGGCGTGGACGCTGGTGAGGGTGCTGGTTGGAGGAGCCCTGATACTCCTCCTCCTCCTCCTCCGCAAGTTGCTCACAGGAGAGAAATACCTCCCGTCCTTCTCTCACCTCGACAACCCGATCCCCTCCATCTCCGACCCCCGGGCGAGGTACTCGAGCATCGCACTGGTGAGAAACAGCGAGCGGGATGGAGCAGGACGGGTGCGGATGATGCTGGGGGAGGGAGGAGGGAGGAAGAGAAGAGGGGTGGAGAGGTTGAGGAGGAAGAGGAGGAAGAAGGAAGAGGGGAGGGGAGGGGAAAGGAGGAGAAAGTAAATTTCCTGGTAGGTTCACAGTGTCTATGCTACTCTTCTCCTATGGCCTTGGCGAGGACTCAGTGCGGACTACTCTTACGACTGTATCCCGATGGTGATGAGAGAGGAGAAGAAGAAGGAGAAGGAGAAGAGGGGGCGGAGTAAGAGAATGCAAAGGAGGAGGATGAGGTGGTAGTGGTGGTGGATGTGGTGGATGTGGTGGAGGTAGTGGTGGAGGAGGAGGAGGTGGTGGTGGAAAGTTTTGATTGAAGAGTGGACGAGGATTTGTAGGTCGACATGGAGGGGGAGAAATGGGAGCAGATGTTGACAAGAGCCGGTGCAGGTGAACAAGATCGAGGACGTGAGAATGTTTCTTCCCATCGCCTTGTACTTCGTCCTCTTCCTCCTCCTCACTCTCCACCTCTCTCCTCTCTACTCCCTCCTCACCGATGGCAACGACTCGTCCAAGGACTGGAGGAGGGCGACCAAGATCGTCTGTCTGCTCCTGTGGGTCATCATCACTTTCCTGCCCGCCTCCCACGTCATCCCCGTCGGCACTCTAGTTGCAGAGCGGCTCCTCTATCTCCCCAGCGTCGCTTTCTGCGCGCTCGCCTCCTCCTTTCTCTGCTCTGCTCCTGCCCTCTCCCATGACAAGAAGCTCCGCCGCGTCGGCCTCTTCCGCCTCTTTCTTCGCTTCACTGCCCGAGCGATGCAGCCGGTCGCGATGCTCGCGCTACTCGTGGGGTACCTGACGCTGACGTGGAGGAGGAACGGGGAGTGGAAGAACTCGTCCTCGCTCTTCCTCAGCGCAGTGAAAGTCTGTCCTCGCAGCGCCAAGGTCAGGTACAACCTTGCGCACGATCTCTCCGCCATGGGCAGCGTCGAGCAGGCGAGGAGGCACTACCAGCTTGCCATCTCCATCCATCCCTCCTACTACCAGGTGACGCCCACTCTTGCCCTCCCTCCCACCCACCCACCCTTCGCCCTCTTCCTCCGGACCATCGCTGTCTGACTCCCTGACTTGGCTCCTCTTCGTCCCTGACGTCATGCAGGCTCTTGCTAACCTGGGGAGCATGGAGCTGCGGGCTGGGAGGCAGGAGGAGGCGATGGACTTGTACCTGCGGGCGGTGGAGGTGCAGCCGCAACTAGGAGAAGCGTATTACAACCTCGGTTTCTGCCATGACGCAGCCGGCAATGCAGGCAAGAGACGTGAAGATGCTGCGAGTTGTTTGCGTGACGCTTTTATCCTTCTTTCCTCCCCCTTGTCTTTCCTGCCTGCTCCCTCTCTACTCTCTCCTCCTCTCCCTCCTTCTCTCCCTGCTTCCTCTCCCTCCTTCATTCTCTTCCTTTCTTCCCATCCTTGCTTCCCCTCTCGATGCCTCCTCTTTCTTCCCTTTCCTTCTGCAGATGTGGCTCGGTCGATGTTTGAGCAGGCGGCGGCCCTGCAGCCAGACAGCCCCATCATCCTCAACTCTCTCGGCAACTCATACCAGGCGAATAGAATGCGCCAAGAAGCGTTCGATATGTACAAGAAGGCAACGATCGTGAAACCAGGTGAGGAAGAGAAGAAGAAATACATGATGATGATGATGACGATGATGATGATGATGATGATGATGATGGAGATGATGATGGAGATGATGATGGAGATGATGGAGATGATGATGGAGATGATGATGGAGATGATGATGGCGATGATGATGACGATGATGCACCATCAATGCCCCCTCAATGTAACACCCTCATCCTTCTTGCCTCGGTGTCTCCGTTTCTCTCATGCTTCTATCTCCTCATGTTAGCATGATACATGATTCTTCTCCTCACTGTCTTGTCTAGATTATGCTCACGGCTACAACAACATGGGCGCCCTGATGATGGAGCAATCTCTTCACTCCGACGCGCTCTTGCACTACCAGCAGGCCATCGCCGCCAACCCAGCGCATGCTGAGTCACATTACGGGCTGGGGATTGCAAGTCAAGCAATGGTGAGAGAAGATGATGATGAGGAGGAGGAGGTAGTGGCGGAGGAGGAGGAGACGGGTTGATCAGGGAAGGAGGGAGGGAGGGAGCACTACGTCTTGACTCGGGTATGTAGGAGAAGAGCGGGAAGATGAGGAGGGAGGAGAGTCTGAGGACAAGCATTTCTTCCTTCTTTGATGCGGTCAAATTCCGTCCGGACTATGCCAAGGTGATGAAGATAACTTGCACTAAGACGGCTCTGCCTCCTCCTGCTCTCTCCCTCGTGCTCCTCTCCTCTCTTCACTGCCCCTCACTCCTTGTCTGTTCTCCTCCTACTCCTCCTCCTTCTCCTCCTCCTCCTCCTCCTCCTCCTCCTCACCACCACCACCATAATCATCCTTGACCTTCTCTTCCGCCTCGTTCTCTGCAGGCGTACCATGCTCTTGGCAACCTTCTCTCAGCTCAGGGGCACGTGGAGGAGGCAGCCGCGTCGCTGTCTATGGCTCTAGAGCTGCTTCCCACCTCTGCTGAGACCTGCAACAGCATCGCCGCGCACTGGCACACCTCCTCCCCCCCGCGCTTGGATCGAGCCATCCTCTGGTACGGGCTGGCCCTCCAGCTCGACCCGACCTACGTGGGCGCCTACAGCAACGCAGGAAGCGCTTTCACTCAGCTCTCCAGGTGGGAGGACGCAGCGAGCATGTACGCGCATGCGGCCATGCTGGAGCCCAAGGCAGAGTGAGCCCGTCCTGTTGCCTTGCCGCCTCCATCTCACCAACCTCCAGGTTCTTGGGCAACCTCGGCACCACGCTCCTTGACGCCGGGCATGTGAGCTTGGGGATGAAGTACGTGGGAAAGGCTGCGAAGCTGGATAGAGGATGGCGCGATCGCCAGCAGGAGCTGAAGAGGAGGAGAGGAGGAGGAGAATCCGAGAAGGAGATCTCAATCGAGACGATCCGGAGGAGGAAGCCCAAGGAATGGAGCAAGGGGATGCCCGACCTTTCCTCCCTCTCCTCCCTCCTGCCTCTCTCCAAGGACTTGGCTGCCAACGTGAGCAGAATTCTACTAGAGCCCCTGAGGAGGGAGAGGGGCGGGACGAGCAACACAAGAAAGGAGGACCCACGAGAGCTGAAGGATTCACCCGAGATGTCAACATCGCAGCAGCTCCAGGACAAGGGCAGAGGCAGAGAGCGATCGGAGGGCGAGGAGGGAAGGAGGAAGGAGGAAGGAAAGGTGCAGAAGACAGAAGGTACCAAGGGGGCGAGCCCACCGAAAGACAAGAACAAACAGCAAAAGGAAGGGAGGGCGAGGAGCAAGGAGGAGGGACAGGTTGAGCAGAGGGAGGAGCAAGACGACGGTCCCAAGGAGAGGACCAGGCAGGAGGAGAGGAAGCAAGAGGAGAAGGAAGACAGTGGAAAGAACGAGGCAGGGGCGTCACATCAGCAACGTCCCATGAACGATCCTGGAAGAGAGGAAGCGCGAGTTGATGCGAAAAAGAGGAGGAGCAACCAGTTGAAAACTTCACAGAGAGAGTTTGGGGACGAGGACGTCGCGGCCGGGAGGACTCGATCTCAAGAACAGCACAAACAAGAGGGGTCGAGCGGGGAGGATCACTTCACCAAGGCGCAAGAGCAGCAGCAGGGTTTGAAGCAAGGAGGAGAGAAGGGAATCACACGAGAGAAGAAGAATACAGGAGGAGCTATGAAGATCACAAAGGAGGAGGTTGAGGTGCAAACGGGCAGCATGGAGAGATCAGAAGCTCCAGGAGGCTGCAGGGACAGGGAGTGCAAATTAAGGGAGCTCTGCTCACGGAAAGCAACGAGTAGCAGCGACAAGATCAGTCGAGCTTGCGCGCTGTTGAGGATACAGGAGATGCGGGTGGAGGGAGAGGAGTACTATGACTCTGAATTATGACAACAAGACAAGCCCGATGATGTTATCGTCACTGTAACAGGGAGAGACGGGGGAGCAGGGGGAAGGAGGGTGGGGGAAGAGGGGTCCAGCACGATGATACTTTCGTCACTGTTACAGGACGAGTAGGAGAGGGAGAAAAGGGGCGAAAGGGGATGGGAGGGGGGGGAACAAGCACGATGATGTTCATGTTGTCTATTGACTTCTCACCTTCTTCCCTACAAAAATCTCGACAAGAACCCTCGAGGCTCGGGCGACATCGACTTGCTCTCCCCTCGCTCCCTCGTCCCGCGTGCTCCTCTCGGCCCCCGGGGAGCCTCCGCCTCCTCCTCTCCGTCCATCTCCACCGACGCAGCCCCCAGCTTTACCATGGCGGCCAGCCAGTCCCCCTGCTCCTCTTCGTCGCAGTGGATGAACAAGCACTCCTGGCTTTTGGAGGCATCGAAGAGGAACCGCTTGTTGCTGGTCAGGATGAAGCCCCTGGTGTCGCTCCTCCTGAAGCCCACGACCGTCTCGACCAGTCGCAGCTCGGCGATCGCAGTCCTCCTCTTCCCCTCGAAGATGCGAAACGAGCCATCACTCGAGATGGAGCAAAGGACCTGCATGCCATTGACACTGCCCTGCTCTGAAAGGAGCTCGAGGCTCCCTGAGATGACTGGTGCACTATCCTCCATGGCCTCTTCTCTTCTCGGTCTCTCTTCCTCCACTTTCCGGGGAGAGGAGTTGGGAGAGCTGTAGCTGAGGAAAGAGTTCTCAATCTCGTCTCTCAGAGAACGCATGTTCAGTGCGGCGAAATCGTTTGCGGTGTTGCCGAAATCAGAGGGGATCTGCATGAAGTCCATGTTTCCGAGGCTGCCTACTCTTCCGAGCTGCTCTCGCAACTTGGAGGAGTCGACGGACTGTCTTGCTGGATGGTTCTTGTGAGGAATCCAGCCATCGCCACTGAGAGTCCGCAGGAAGGGCGGGCTCGAGTGCATGCTGAAGGAATTAAGTTGATCTACTAGATGTACGGGAAGGAGAGGGAGGGAGTAGAGCTAGAGGAGGGAGTAGAGCAAGGAGGTGTTTGCAGGAAGAGAAGGCAAGGGAAGAGAAGGAGGGGGACAGAGAGGGAGCAGGAACGGTGGAGCGAGGAACGGCAAGTTGCCTCACCGTGAGGATGGGTGGGGTACTTTGTGGACCCGTACTTTAAATTTATATTTAACTGCAATTGTGGGTACTCGATGAGATTTAATCTGAATGAGGGTAGGGTAGTCTAAGAATGGGACAGAACATGCGAAAGAACCAAAAAAAACAAACTTGAAATGTTGTTGGATATGGATAATTACATCAGTAAATTTCAAATTTAACAAGCATTATTGGGGTTAAAAATCTCAAACATTTGCAGGGCAGCTTTACGTGCTTTCGCACATCCCCGATTTGCACGAGCACACAAATCAGGTATGGCAGCTACACAAGGGAGACGATGGTGGGAGAGGGCGACATGAGATCGTATGTGAGAGGAGGGGAAAGGAAGGAAATGTTCTGAAGGGAAGAAGATGGTGACAAGTGTGCGATGCCATGAAAGTGTTGTTGACGGCAAGATAGCGTCTTGTAGCGTCTTGCAGAGTAAGCTTGGTGAAAGATGGTCACAGAAGATGAATCAGTGAAAGATCGAAGAGGAGCAAAGAAATGACGTAGATCAAATGTGGGTCAGAGCTTCTTCTTCGTGTAAGATAGATCCCTCAAACTTCTCATCCATCTAGATCGTTATTAGCGTGACAGAAACATGATTCTTTTTGGTTGCACGCTTCGATCCCTGGGTGCCTTTACCAATTTCTCATCCTTTGCCCATGGATGGCGATCAAATGGCGGCTGCCCTAGATCTTAGTCTTGTTCGCCCCGGCGATCTATTATGGGTCGCTGGTATAATCAAGACTTACATGTTGAAAGCGATCCTCCATACCAGTCCACCCTCCGAAAGGATTTAGATTGTCGCTGATGGGTTGTACGGCAGGTTGGAAACCGTTGTAGATCATCCGGCTGTATCAAGGAGATGAGTGTTATCTTTGGTGAGAAGTTAGTAAAGTCATTGCCATTGAGATTCATTGGTGAGGGATGGTGTGTTCAATATCTTGCATTCATTATGATTCCATCTATCATTACAACCTTGACGAGAGCCTGAGCCTATCCATCGACATTCTGAATCAGGATCTGAGATGTTGGAGCTATCCATTGCAGCGCATTTAGAAAATCTGCCATAAGATGTTACTGTAGAAATATTGCCATTCGGAAGAACAATCGAAGTTGGACGGAACACAACAGGCGTGCGATTCGAACCATAACTAACTAACATAGCTGATGTGCGGGCACAGTGTTCATAAACAGGAGAGTTCGGTGTATGCTAAATCACCAGGAGGAGGGGAGAACGACTCACTTCGTCTCTAAAGGCATATCCAACCACCGAAGTGACATCCCGGAACCCATACCTGCAGGATTCCATGGATGGCAAATAATAAGAAGAGAGTTCCGCCGGACAGCGCGACGGTCTTCTCTGAGATTCTGTTCGCAAGTGTCAGCACAGAGGCTTCTGGGTCTCACAGGTTACCGTGAGGCGAGCATCCTCCCTCCAAGAACAGCGAGCCCTGTGCAGATAGCATGCCCCAATGTTCCGCCGATCGTTACTCCCCAGGGATCCTTGTGCGCAGCCTGCAGCAAGGTACACGTCAAACCATGATGGGACCTTCGAAAGACAAGGAGCTCACAAGAGCGATGGTGGCAATCTGCGATCGATCGCCCCACCTGTCCGGATCGCTCAGGTCAAAGTGGTCACAAACTGCAAAAGGTTTGCATCTCACTCAGCAAGGAAGGTCAAGATGAAAGACTGCCACAAAATCCCGTTGGTAAAGGAAACGTTGTCATTGCTTTGATTGTTCCCGTCTACATCAACGGCGTCAGGGAAAAATCGCAAAGCAACATCGCACACCAGCAGTCTCGACATCTGTTTTCTTTCCAACTTTGGCTAATTCGTTTTCAACCTGGCAAACCGTTAAGAACAAAACACGTCAGATATTACTTACCTCTTCCAGCTCCTCGGAGACTTTCCCTGACTCCATCTCGAGCCCTTCCCTGCAAGGAAGGAAGAGCAACTATGTCAAAGCAAGCAAGGCAAAGCTCCCGACTCACTTCAAGAGTCTCGCTCCGAAGATGATGAAGAGAACAATCGAGGCATAGTGCGTGTATGCCCTGGGAAGTATGTTCGGCAAAAGGTATCCGAATGCAGCTGAAAAGAAAGTATTAGTCAAAATCAATGCACTCGTCAATCTTAAAAGCGGTACATGAAAGGACAGTCATCAAGGCGAGCGCAGCTATGGCTCCAGAGAAAACAATCCAACGAGAGTGCTTCATGGCCATGATCTGAGAATAAGTGAGTGGGAGACTTCTACACAAGTCGCATCACCGCGGCGATGAAAAAGGTTTTATCACCCAACTCGGACACGATGATCATCATGAGCGAGGAGATGAAGGCATCTGCGTATCCAGAGATGATGTGTCCTCCGATGGAGGACTTGGAATCCTTTGATGCACTTGTTGCATTCTTGCTGAGCTGGAAGCATATGTCAGGCATGCAAGATGCTGCGCTAGACTCGCTGAGCTCTTGACGATTGAAAAATGTCAAATCAACAAGAAAATCCTGTCTCATATCATTCTTGCAGTCAACAAACATCATGATCTTCCATATCAATCCGCCATGACGGTCAATCTAACTCGATCCACTCTACTTGCTCACAACAATCGCCGACACCAGCTGGAAAGCATCACTCGCAATCAGCATCATCAGTCGCAAATATCGTGGTGGCGGATCTCAAGCATACGTCTACTTCACACCTTGAGATCTTGTTGGGCCATAGCAGAAGAGCTCAACAAAACCATCACCATGGCCGCCTGCGCCGCCTTCATGGCCAGTCTCCCGTGCGCCATGCCGCCCTGCAGCTCCTCCACACCCACCCTGCTAGTTCAACCGATCCAAGTCATACTACCCCTACAATGCTGTTACTTATTGTGAGGTGACTTTGAGTGTACATTGAATACTGATTTATCGAATGAAGCCATATCAGTATTCGCTATAGTACCCCTCTTATCGTTTTTACCCTGAGCTTCTACTACCCTGTTGAACGGACCCCCATTGATAAAAGGACCCCTACCCAATACACCATCACCTGCCAATCCCTCTACGTCACCTCCAATCATTGAATCGAATCGATTTAATGTTTTCAAGTGTGAATCGAATCGATTCTTTTGAAAAAATCAGTTAAATCGACTCCGCGCGCGATTCGGAGGCACCGGCGGCCCGGCCGGGGCCCTGAGTTACCGTACCGTACTACTGAGGGCCCGGCCCGGCACCGGCCGGGCCCGAGGCCGCCCGGCCCGCGCCGCGGCGCGCCGCAGAGTCAGTCCGGCCGGGCTGAGTCACGGTACGGTCGACCTGCCAGCCTGATCCGAATTGTCACACTGACAGGCCGCCGCGTGGTTTACTACCACACTACTGTCAAGTTACTCCGGCAGTCGAGCTTCCGAATGCTTTCCAACGGTTAAAGTAGTTACCGTACGCAGCAGTCACTATGAATCATTCAGTGCGCCGGGCCGGGCCTCAACTTCGGAAGCGGCTTGAATCCTCAAAGCCTTGAAGCAGCCTGTTCAGGACGCTGACCGTTGCTCAGAGTTGTACACTACTCGCATACACTGATATGATTGAAGGAATAACAACACGTGACACGTGACACGTTTGTTCATAATCGGCTGAACTTCCATATGATCAGGATTCGCCTTACTACTAGGATTAGACTGCCGAGACTTCTTTCATCACTTCTCACATTCGCTTCGTCTTCATCTATCATCCTCTTCCCCATTCTTTCCAATAGCCCTTTGCTGTGATGTTTCACCTCCCCAATAACCTTCGTACAGAGTTCGATCAGTCACAGTTCATGTGGCAAACAGCAAGACCAAGAACGGCAGGATCATACACAGATGTCAATCATGGAGAAGAGAGATTCTAGTCACTCACCGGTCCAGTACAGCATCACTCCAGAGAAAATCAGAGCTGGTAATCATAACAATCAAATCGACATCTATGACCATCTTAACGACTGGACGACTTTACCGTGCATGGCGATCTCGAAAGGCTGCTTCTTCAACGAGCATGCAACAACTCCTCCCGCGTGAAACGTCGCCCATGCCTGAACGAGAGTCAAACAGAGCGCAGGGAAAGATCACGTATGCATCACAGGAAGCAGCGTGTTGTATCCCAACGCAATGCCTCCTCCGAACATGGCGCTCGTACATGTTAGGGTTGCAATCCAAGCATTCCTGACCTTGATTGAGTTAGCATGGAAGACTCGTAGCATGTGTGAGTCATGAAGTACCATCGGATCCTCTTTCTCATCCGTGTGCCCCTTCATCCCTCCCTCTGTCATGAAGCCGCGTGCACCTCCCAGACGGCATCTCGACGTCTCAGAACTGACCGCAAGTCTCTAGAGCGACTAGCGATCAGACAGACAGGACATGGCAGCATGGACGTACCTCTCTTGCTCTCATGGTCAGCCATCGTGGAACCTTGATCATGTTGCTAGACCGAAGGAGCTCTTCCATCCTGTACCTCGCCCTTGACCCGGCCATCATCATGTTGAACGTGGAAGACTAGGAAGGCTCTCTTCCTTTGTTCACACCACTACGATTGCTGTCCTCTGCATCATTTAGGGAATCATTCCGAGGCGAACTTTCTTGTTGCTAGGCCCGGCCGGGCCGCCGTGACCGACTGCCGGGCTGCCAGTGGCCGGGCGGCCCGGCCGGGGGCCGGGCCCGGGGAGCCGGGAGTCCGGGAGACGGAGCACAAGTTTGTTAGACTTGTACTATGCCAAAAGTAACGCAGATATCACATCGACCTTAGTTGTAACAAGACAGTTTTTGCACAAGACCGAAGTTTAACTTTCATGCACACAAAACTTGACTAGAATTGCGGAGCACATGAGAGATAGACTGTATGCTAGCCTGAGTACTGTATGCCGCTGAGCAGGCCCGGATGTTAAACCCACTGACTCTGTGAGTATCCAGATCGGACATGAGAGGACCTTAGCATTGAAGTGACGGCCAGGAAAGCCTCCCGGAGTCTTCCGGTCAGCACGTACTACATTGCTGCCTTGAAACACGTCAGAGTCGCCGCGGGGCCTTAGTTTACGGGAGAGTTTTTGTTAACTCGGCGGGGCTATCTGACTGGCACGGCTGGCCCGGCATGTGATCGGATCACCTGCACTGTCCCGTGCCGGGCCGGGCCGCCTATGTAGCACTACCAGTGGGCGGCACCCGGATGACGGCACGGTGGCGCGCCGCCGCCCGGCGAGTCCGACAAAGGCCAAAATGTCCCGGCGACGATCCGATGAGCTCATTCGAGTCAACCGTTAAGATTGATGCACGGCATCTTCTGCTTCACAGTGAATCGAATGAAATAAGTTTACTATACATTCATGTTCGTGGTTATGAACTCTTTGACAAGCTGAGTGAGGGAATCTGGGGCCTCCCAGGGCAGCATGTGGCCCATCCTCTCCAACCGAATAACCTTTGCCATAGTCATCAGCAGCAGGTCAACAGGGTCGAGCAACAAGACACTGCGAGTAGAACATCCTCCTCCTCACCTTTCCCGTGTTCGAGTTCTCATATCTACATTGCAGACCAAATGCAAACTTGTCATCGGATCCGCACACCACAAGGCAAGGGGCCTCGATCTTCTTCAAGTCGGGAGTGAGGTCCACGTCTCCTGTCCGATGCCCATCAGACAACATGAAGGGAACGCGCGTCAGTCTTGCCTGCCGCGAGTCCTCTTGCCCATATGTGTCTCGGGCAGGAGAGGAAGCTCCTCCTAAGCTCTTCCTTCAGGCAGCAGGTCAGCTCGCTCCTACATCAATCAGCTTCGCCCACTCACTTGCATTGTCTTGTTTACGAACTGACCGAAGAATGGACGAGCGATGACCCTGGCGAGGGTGCGGAATCGGAAGAAGACGTGAAGGAATCCCCAAGAGCTGAAAATCTTGTAGAGCCAGGGGAACGACTCTACCCGTGCAGGTGAGACAGGGAAACTGCTGACCAGAACTATCCCTCTGGGTACAAAGTCATCTACCACGTCTACAGCAAGGCATAATATCACTTCACTCTCTTTGAAACTTGTTGGGCATGGCGGATGCAGAGCGTTTGGATGAGATAACCACCAAGTCCATAGCCTACAAGAACAAGGTGAACGAGCAGTCAAGATTTTCTCTCACCTACCTAACAAGAAGCATTGGTCCGCATTCACATGTTCAATAAGGTCCAGTAAATCGTCACACTTCGTTCGTCATCATGCAGAGATGACGGATGGCAGAGGGAGAGTATCAGATATCAGCTCGCTCAGGGGTCTTACAAGAAAGTTTACACAAGTACCAAGATGCTGGCTGTGAAGAGACTTGAGTGCGAACACATCCCGTGTCCACGGAGATCGTAAGTTATGACCCGGTATCCCTTTGCAGTCAATCTGCAACAAGTTAATCTCTGGCAGGATTTCAGGCCTCCTCACGTTCTAAAGAGGAAGAAAAAGATGACCGACGAGCAGCCGACGGAGTGCACGAGAATGATGGTCTGCCCGTTCCCTTTGCTCCAGTATGGAACCTTGCACAGGTCTCTCGTCGTCATGTAGCTCAGCTCCACCTGCCATGATCCACTCACACCGCACCATAGCTCTCAGCTCTCCTTACGTCCCTCGGCATCCTCCATCTGTTGTCATCCACTGGAAGGAGGTACAGGATGATAGAGATCACGACGACGACCATGAAGCCCCAAAACATCATCTCCACCACAGCCTCCAGCATGACCTCTTCCATATCAACCAGGCGTGCCACGTTCGCCGCAATCTCCAGCGCCCATCGCCGCACTTCCTCTACCTCACTGCCTTTCCCTGCCCCTCCTCCTGCCCCTGCTGCTCCTCCTGCTCCTGCTGCTCCCCTCCGTCCACCTGCACCAGCTCGCTTCATCACAGAACAGTGAGCAGCACCTCTGCTACACTGATCGAACTGTGCAGCAGACTGTGCTGCAGACCTGGCAGCAAACTGCTGGCAGACTGTGCATTGTTGTCTCCGGTCTCCCGGCGTTCGCGGACCCGGGCTGAATCCCGCCAGTAGCTAGCATTCATGGCGTTCCACTACACGTACGGGATGCGAGGGTACAGCCTCTGTGCAGAATGCCTCGCTCCCATCGACCCCTCTGCCGCTCCCCTTGCCAGCGTGTGCAAGCACAGACTCTGCAACAAGTGCTGGCTAGGCCTCCTTCGAAAGAATGGCGAGAACTGGTCCAACAACAACTGTGGTGGGGTAGTTTGCCTCATCCAGCCGACGATGCCGACCGCCACGCAACCGTCCTCCTCGACTCTGAGTGCAGGAGGAGCGGAAGCAGGACAGCAGGGGGCGACAACAAGGAAGAGGACTCAATACTGGCGGCACGATAGCGCAGCTGCAGGACGCAACCAACACCGACAACGCTGAGGCGTTTACGAGCATTGCCAAGCGCTTCAATGACTCGGCGTTCAAACCCTTCCTCCGCTTCCCCAACGATGTCCACCTGTCAAAGAGGGCCGAGCCCAACCTCGAGCCCCGCAGGGTCATCGATCCGGAGGAGGTCAGCAGGAGGATCCAGGACATACGTAGGGTCTACACGAAGGCTGTGAGCAGCTGGGAGCGCAGCGATCTTAAGTCTCCTCTGCTCGAGGACTTCTTTGTGTTCTGCAGAGACACTCACGATGACAAGGACCACCATAAGACTTACTGGTTGGACGTGTACTACCTCCGAAACCTCATCGTGCAAGGTTACAACCAGGATGTCACGAAACTGTTTGTTGATTCCGGCGGGATTCCTCAGCCTGACGCTGAAGCTCAAGAATCATCGCAATCGCAACAAGAGGCTCAGGATCAGCGGGCGAACAAACGAGCGAAACTTGATGATAACGGGGAGAGCGCGGGAGCCGAAGGGAGCTCGACTCTCTCAGATGCTGCTGACCGGACGTACGCGCAAATCAAGATAACAATGAAGGCAATGGCGGAATCCGAGGAGGCCAGGAAACATTATCTATGGAGCAAGTCACTTCTCCGTGCAACCGAAGCGCTGTCCAACGACAGACTATCGCAGGAGGTCAGAGCGCTGTATGAGAGGCAGGTTGTACACTATAGCAGGTTGCTTGACGAGGCAACGGGTGGAGGCGGAGAAGCGCGAAGTTCTTTGACACCTAGCAACGCAACGGCCTCTTAGTGTAGTTCAACTGTGGAGTTTGTGCCAGTATGTGTCCTCAAGCTTTCCGAGTTCTATGTGGCTTCCCTCCTCTTTTAAACATATTTGTCTTCCCATCGCGTAAAGAAGAGAATTTAAAGTAACTTCGAACCCGGCAGTTTCAAAGAGCCTGACTGAGACTCTCCGACTCAGTGGAGACTGAGGCCGCGGCTATGGGCCCGGCGCCGGACTCCGGGACTCCGGGACAGGAATTTATGAAACTTGCGACATGCCCTGCCAAACTCCGGCCATTGCACGTGACTCGCCCAGCTGAGCAGCACTGACTGATGACTGATCATGTACTCAGTGCAGTGCTGGGACTCACAGGCACGGTGCCCCGCGCGGCCCGGGCCGGCCTGCCCGGCCGCGGCCCGGCCCGGCCGGGCGGGCACTGAGACCTTAACTGAGCGGGGATGAGGGCTTTTGCGGGGCCGATAAAGCCTGGCACATGCTGGCGAGAGGTCTACCAGGACAAGTAGAGTGCGAGTGAGAGTGAGAGAGTGAGCGAGGAAGGGAGGATCCGAGAGAAGAAGAGCAGAAGCAGGAGCAGGAGCAGGAGCAGGACAGTCGAGCCCATACATCTCACGAGGTTCCCGCTGAAGACGAGTGGTCAAGGAGGCTCCGAGAAGGTCTCGTTGCTCCGATGGCTCAAAGGTTCGTGAGTCCTCTCATCTTGCTGGCTACGGCATTCTCCTGCATCCAAGTCGCCAGCTCATTCAGTCCTCTGCGGGGATACGTGCAGCAGTCCAGGACCAGAGCTGTGCTACCGCATTCCCCTCTTCTCCGCCATGGGTCGCATCGAGTTGCTGTGCGGCCCTCAGGGGGGGAGGCGAGGATGCTGACGCGGCTGAGGATGCAAGGGGAAGGAAGATCTGTTGGGATAGATCTGGGAACAACCAACTCCGCAGTTTCTGCTGTTGTTGACGGCCGACCAGTCATCATCCCGAACAAGTTTGGCAAACCCACGACCCCATCAGTAGTCGCGTTCCGGTCGAAAGGCTCAGGCTCTGACGAGGTGGATATTCTCGTGGGGGCGGAAGCTCTGCAGGTGGGAGAAGGAGAAAATTTCAAGTTGTTCTCGTCTATCAAGAGGATCATCGGGAGGTCCAAGAAAGATGCCCTGACTGCAGCCGCCGACCCAGCAGTAGCTGACACTTTCATCGAAGCCGAAGGTCCGGATCTGTGTTCTGTGTGCTCCCTTGATGGTTCTCTTTGTTGTTCTTCTATCCTCACAGATGGCTCCGTCCTCCTGCCCTGTGCTGTCCTTGGCAGGAACATCGACCCTGCCGAGGTGGCCTGCCCCTGGAAACAAACTTTGCAATGAAGTTTGAGCTTGCAGATCTCTTCATGTATCCTTCGGCGGCTCTTGGATGATGCTCAAGATTGTGGGAGATATTGACATGTGTGCGATCAAGGTCGCTGACAGTTCTTCATGCCAGTTCTCGGAGAGAAGGTCACCCGCGCTGTTATCACCGTCCCCGCATACTTCAACGACAGGCAGAGGGAGGCGACGGAGGCAGCGGGTGAGGCGAGCTTGTCCTGATGGTGTGATGTGAGTAGTCTGCTGTCAGGGCTGCTTGCCGGGCTAGAGAAGGTGAAGATCCTGAGAGAGCCGGAAGCCGCGGCCCTCGCGTACGGTCTCGAGAAAAGGGAGGACGAGCTCATCTTGGTGGGGAAGGCCGGTGGGAGTCTTAGCTGGAGTGACAAGGGTTGCATGTCAGGTGTTTGACCTCGGAGGAGGGACGTTTGACGTTTCTGTGCTGGAAGTGGGAGGGGGCATCATAGAGGTGAGGGAGAAGGGATACAGGAAGAGATGAGCAGTCAGAGGAAAAGTTGAGGAGAAGCAATCAGAACGAGGAGGAGCAGGAGGAGGGGTGCGAGGAGGGAAGGAGGAGTATGAAGGTAAACGACAATGAGGATTTTTTCCAGGTAATATGGACGGGCGGAGATTCGTTCCTGGGAGGAGACGATTTTGACAAGTCAGTGATAGAGGTTGTATGAGAAGCTTCTCATCATGATCCTTGCAGAGAGATCGCGAGCTCTGTGCTCAAGGCCTTCTCTGAGCAGTGCGAGGAGGAAGGTACTCAGTGCCCCTCCCTGGACGTGGTGAAGAAGGACGACAAAGTGAGTCTGACCAAGACATGACAAGTTGCGAGGTTGTTAACCATCGAGTACCTGTCACAGAGAATGAGAAAGCTTTTGATGTCTTGTCGAGAAGCGAAGGTGACGTTTGAGGTCCTGTCTTCTTCCCACGCTCATTCATCGCAGACCAAGTTATCTACAGCTAGAGTCTCAACTGTTGAGATCTCAGACTTCATCGAAGGGAAAGACCTGAAAGTACGCCTGTGCCCCCCGCCCTCGTTTCCTCTCGTCCCTCAACTTCTCTGAGATGAACTCTGGCAGGTCAACATCACCTCCAAGATGATTGAAAGCATGTGCAAGCCTCTCTTTGACAGGCTCGCCGTTCCCGTTCGTCAGGTAGCCTCTCAAAGCTCACGTGTTGTCAACTAGATTCATCTCTGATCCCGGATCTCAAAGATACCTTGCTCTCTATCTTGACATTTATTGTCTTCTCCAATCCCTTGCCTCTGGTTTGCCCGCAATGTTTTCTGCTCCTTACATGCAGTTTGCGATTGTTGTGCCTTGATAGGAATATCTGTGATGTTGCCATGGATCTGTCCAAGTCTCTTCTCCACTCTACTTGTTGTGCTGCTGCGTGCTGACGCGATTCGGCAGGTGGCGCTCATGTCCGGCATCGAACTGCAGGGGGAGCTCATGGACTGGAACAACGCTGCTAAAGATGTAACAGAGACAGTTACGGTCAAAGTCGCTTGCTCTTACGCTCCTGTGCACCTCAGGCACAAGTGGGATCAGATCCGCTCGACTATAAGGCACTAAAAAAGCAGGTGAGGCAATCTACTGCTCCCCGCCGCCTTTCACTCTCTTTCAAGCAATCGCAAGACAGAAAGAACGCCAAGCTGATCAAGAAGCAGAAGGCTGAGGTCCAGAAAGTCCAGAAGAGGGTGAGGAATGCATCACAACCGGGATGACGGGGGGAAGGGAGGGGGGGAGGGAGGGAAGAGCACAAGCATGAAATGGGAGGACGGACAAGGGAAGCTGGTCATGGTGACATGCCTGACCTGCTCTTGTTCCATCAGGTTGGTGGCATCAGGTTGCGGAAGTTTCCTGCCGGCAGGAGGCTCAGCGAGGTGAAGCGAGAGGAGAGAAGGGGGAGAGTTTCTCTGATCACCATGCTGCAGGTCATCCTAGTCGGTCATCTCCTTCCATTTTCCCTCCTTCTTCATGATGCTTGCCTCTGCAGGAGGAGGAACCAAGATGCCTTCAGTCACCAACCTCATCCGAACCATGACCGGCCTGACGGCCAAGAAGACCATCGATCCTGACGAGGCCGTCTCCCTCGGCGCTGCCATACAGGTCTCCCCTCTGCTCCTCGGCTCCTCTGCTCCCCGAACCTCCGCCCTTTCATGCCTCTTTCACATCCCTGCTCCCTCTCCTTCTCCCTCCTCGTTCACCTTCGCTCTCGAGCTCTTTCCTGTCTGGTTCCCCATATGATGGCCCTTGACTTGACTCTACAGGCCGGTATGATGGACGGGCTGATCCAGGGGTTTGAAGTGCTCTCCCCGCTCCAGGTCGACCTCCCCTCCCTCCCTTCTCCTCCTTGCTCCTTGCTCCTGCTGCTCCCCCGTGTGCTCACGGTCACTGTGGGGTCAGGCGGCCCTCCTCAGAGGCTTCGCAAGGAAGAGGATGCAGGAGGAACAAGGTAAGGGAGATGCTGGATACCAGCTGGTAGTGACCTCGAGCCAGGCACTTACAAGCCCCTCACGGGAGATCCCGAGGACCCTCCAGAGGACGAGGACTGGGAGGACGATGAGTGGCTGGAGGACGAGGAGATTGTGAGCCTGCGGAGAAGGGGGGGGGATGGGGAGGAGCGTGACGGAGAGCGCAGGCTGACTTTGACGAAACCGAGGACCAAGCCTGAGGAGGAAGAGGAGGAGGAGGATGCAGATTAGGAGATAAGGATGAAGAGGAGGAGGAAGAGGAGGAGGCATAGAATAGCAAATTCAGCTGTAATCGCTGAAGTGTTAGGAACCAATCAAGTCAACCGACTGAGCTCGGCACTCCTAGCTGAGGATTCCCAGCTTCTTGACAGCCTGTTTACAGCTGGTCAGCCACCGGGCAGGCGCAAAAAAGCAGGAAGGCACCTCCTCCAGCTGTTCCTCAGTCAGCTTCCAGAAGCTCTCGATGGTCTTGGAGTCCCGAGCAGCCTCGCTGGTGGGGGTGATCTTGTCCCTTACAGTTCAGAGCGATGGAGGGAGGAGGAAGGAAGGCGGGAGGAGGGAGGAGGGAGGAGGGAGGAGGGAGGAGGGAGGAGGGAGGAGGGAGGAGGGAGGAGGGAGGAGGAGGAGGAGGAGGGAGGAGGGAGGAGGGAGGAGGGAGGAGGGAGGAGGGAGGAGGGAAG